ACCGTGGACTGGAAGGCCTGCGCCGCGGCCTGCTCCAGGTTGAAGAAGGTGGCCAGGAACTTGATGTACTCCGCGCTGTGCAAATTTCCGTTGTCCTCACGTCATGTCATGTCTTCCATTTGCCAAAGCTTCCCTGAGGAGCAATCTCAGCCCAAATATTCCCTTCGGGATGAATTCGAGGCACACCTATTTGCCGTGCCCAGCCCACACCGGCTTGTGCAGAAGGCCCGGCAATCCACGGCTTGCTCTTGAGGGACCCAAGATCATGAATAACCACGACACGGCGTGGTGTGGTAAGGCAAATGGAAATTGCGCTATGAGCAGATGATTGCCTCAATTGTTCCAGTTGAAACAATAGGTGTATCTTCGACTTTAAGGAACGAGCTCATGCCAACCTTCTGACAATCAATCCTGACTAATCAACCTACATCCAGAAAAGGATTGGACCCCTGTTGGCCACTGTTTCTCTCAAAAAAAAGCAAAACAGCGTGGTGTCTGGGCGGACCGGAATCCATTCGCGTCCCGTTCGCCGTCCTTCACCGCCGGGAAGTGCACGGCGTTGCTGCGGGCCCGCAGGCTGCTGCACTCTCCGCTGCAGTCCATGAAGACTGCCTGGGCGAGCGTCGCTTCTTCGCAAAACAGGTGGCCCGTTGACCGTTGAGCAGTGCCTTCGGAAAGGACCGCGGAGTGAGGCTGTCATTCGCTTCAGATTCAGCTGTTGTTTGTCAAAAGGATTGTTCCCCGCAAGAGAACTGCTGGATGGTTGAGGTTCAGACCCGCTCGATCGGTCCGAGACCTTCCGTAGTTGGAGGGATGCGTTGCTATGTTGAAGGGAGCCCTGCAAACACAGTCTAGATTGGCCGCGGTTGCTCACCAGGCGCGCGGTTGCTGTTGACTGACAGTCCTTGTTCTGTTTGGCTGAAGATCAAGCTGCATGGTTTGACATACGTTTCTCTCAGCAGAGCATGGAGCTCTCAGGTGGCCAGCAACATTACACAAGTTAGTAAGCCGAAAACGGGGGGCAAGAAAAGACCAAACAATAGCCGCCTCTGCAAAGTAATTCCAAGCTCCTTGTAGGCTGAAGCCTCCTTTTGCTCGATGGAATACGTTTCTCTTTCTGATTTTGCTGTAGCTGCGGGTGGAGAAGTATGGCGCCAGTTCGCACAATGACGCATATGATGGATTCTGTTTTATCTTGAATGACGCAATCTGCGCGATGTGATACACAAACTTTGATCATTGGCCACAGCATCTTTCTCGCCCAAACCCTAAGAGGACCACTGTGTGCGTGAGCGTGTGTTGTTTGGAGCGGTCCAAGCACAATTGCTTCCTTTGAAGGGGACTCTTTGGAGCCTTAAGCGAAGTTTTGAAAATGTAAAGGAAAAGATGAGGGTCTTTTGGGTTGGAAGCCTCTTTCTGCAATCGCTTGGGGCTAGTGTTTGACCCACTTGTGAGACTAAAGTCGTTGCCCATGACAACCGGTGTACTTAGTATCACAGAGACTGGCCGGACTGCCCCCACTTTCAACGGACTTGGCCGAGCGGGGACTCCAAACTCCTCTCCCCACCTCGGCGGAGTCCAACTGCTCGGCGTGCAGGGAGGCGTTGCCCCAGGAGGATTCCAGCGTGCTCCCGCAGCCCAAGGCCTTCTGCCAGCAGGGGCCTGTGGCGTAGGAGTCCACCCGCACCACCCGGTCCTGCAGAAACAAGGGAACCGGAGGTGAGGCAAAAAATACTGGCACTGTTTCTTACATGCAGAAGTTTACGTGAGAGATGCCTTAGAAAAAACAAATGGCCGCGTGGCTCTTGTGCCTCCGAAAAAGGGGCCAAATTTGTGGATCTTGAGCTTCAAGACTCGGGGGATTTCCAGGGTGACTACAGAAAATAGGGAGGATGAACCACGAAACCAACTCTCGGGGGATACTAAAACCGCACACGTTCACCAGCATTTTTTGCACAGCGATCTGCCTGATCCATGCGGGTTCCGCGAGCCCCGCAAAACATATGTTCGTCGAGCTTTTGAAGGTTGGCCGTCCCAATCCCAAGGGTCCGCCATTCCCGGAAAGGTTGTACTTCTTCTTGAGTGTTTGAAGGTCTGAACCCACCCTAAACCTACTGTAACCTCTTCGCGGAGCCAAAAAATGTTAAAATGAGGTAAATGGATGTAATCCCAGTGTGCTAGACAAACAGGGCAAATTATTACGAGCTCACAGGGTAAACGAGCTCACCCATGAATGTTACTTCGGGTTCCTTACTGCATCCTTATTTCAGATTTGCAAATTTGAGCATAAACTGGCCTATTGTAAGTTTATGCGTGACGCAGAGTCGATGGCGCACTCACCGCAACAAAGTTGGACGCTTGGATTTGTTGCACCTCGCCCCGCCCGATCCACACAGAGGGTCACAGTCCCGAGCGGCGTCTACGGTCCCACTCCACCTTAAAAGTTACCAGTTCCAATTGAGAAACCAATTTCTTCAAGCGAATGCGTTGTGCCAGTTCTCTGAGCAAGTGCCTTTGAGCAAGTTTTTCCAAGCAAACTCTCTGAGCAAGTTCGCTCAGAGAATTTCTCTGTGCAACTTTTCTAGTTCGCTGAGCAAGTCTCTCTGGACAAGTTCTCAAACCGTTTTCTCTGAGCAGGTTTCTCTGCGCAAGCTTTCTGAGCAAGCTTTTCTACGCATGTGTCCATGCAAGTTATGCGTCCATGCAAGTTGTTATAGCAGGATTTCTTTGCAAGTTCTCTATGTAAGTTCTCAAGTGTCTCTATGCGAGCTGCCTATGCAAGGCGCGGAAAGCAAAGCAAAGAGCGAAATCCGAAATCGCAGCAATTTCTGCTGAAGGAAAGGTCAAGAAAGTTGAGGGTTTGGATTCTAGATTGGGTGCCTTTTAAGTGAACCCAACAAAAGGGGTTCCTAAGACACGCCAGTTTTGGCCAACCCACCTGGAGGTTCAAGCGCCTCAGGAAGGCGAGAGCTGTGGTAGAGCCCGCAATGACCTGACAAGTTTCATTAAAACAAAGCCTTGTGAAATCTATGTAGAATACCATACGTATACACATGTGTATATGGTGTGTATATGTATATATTATGTGAGTACGTCAACCAACCTGACAGGGGCAGGCTTGACACTTATGTGTATATATATATATATACATACACAAACATCATCACTTCTAGTCCCTAGTGAAATGTAAAATGAATCCAAAACTCTGCTTGAGGTCGTGATGCTGAAAAAAGCATCTGGACATGAACTGAAAGAGATCCAGGGAAAAGAGACACCAATAGGCGTGTCTTTTCACGCCTAGCTGTTCAGTTTTCCCAAAGGGAGGAACGCGGCATTGCCTCGGCCAAAGTTGTTCTCAAAAGTCTCTCTCAAGCCAAGGGATAGAACTGGCCCTCACCATAGTGCTGCTGCAAAAAAAGAGGAGTTTTCTAGGGAGGTGTCCCGACCAGAAACAATCAGCGGCTCCTTTTTGGGTCTTCATTCTGACTGTGGGGGCGAGCTGACGGGTTGTTTGAACTGAGCTGACTGCCTGCTGCAGCGGGATGGTGAAGTACTTCCTCTGGTAGCCGGCCGCCAACGGCGCCACCTGAAACCCGGGACCCATTCCCTGACGTTGGCGCTACTCTCCTTCCGTGGTTCACCTTTTACATTAAGACAGTGTCAGCTTTCGGCAAACCTCACAGCAGCTACACCCACCTGCTCGATCTCTGCCTCGGAGGGCACCGTCGTACCACACTGCGTCAGCACATACTGCTCCTTGGAAAGCTTTTCGGAGACCACCTGCAGGAATCTGTTCGCATGCCAAACAAACAACCGCAATAAAAATTGATTCGCTTCGTCTTCCAGATCTGCCAGCGAGGTCATCGCTTTGCAAAACAACTATTGCTATATCCGCCTTCCGAACTGAGGTTGGGGTACCACCTGGAATGCAATTCAGAGGTTCCTTAGGAAGATTGCTGCAACCATAGGGTTCTCTAACCGCCCACTATGACCTACAAGCACCAAGTGGGATGACACTTCCGGGCGGGAAGCAATCCGGAAGCAGGCAACCATGATGCGAACCAGCTTCGCAAACGTGCACAGGGGGCATCCCTTTAGCGGATCAAGTGGCCCCCATCCTGCAACGGCCCGCCTTGAAGCTGGTTCCATATACGACAGAGATCAAGGAGGCCGACTGAACGTCAGACTCCGCGGACGTCACGGAGGGCGAGGGGAAAACCCCCAGCTGCGAGTTCAATGGATACAAGTCCACGCCCGCAGCATCCACGCACTCTCCCACTGCAGCGCGCTCCTCCACCGACCTGGGGCCCGGAATTGACTTCTGTGGTGGACCTTCCGGGTGACTATGCCATCTAATTAGCTGATTTGCGCATTCCCACCGGCCTGAGGGCGCAGTGGGCACATCCGACAATCGCAAGTGCGATGATCCTCATCATGGCGGCAAACCGAGAGGGCGCTTCTGACCTAACCTTGAGCCCAATGCTTCTGGCAACAGCTCTTGTGCACAGCTTCTCTTGGATCTGTGACTGAAGCCGGGCAGAGGCCATGGTTATGCCTTCTTTCTGGTTGGCTCACACCAATCATCGAGCATGTCACGCTTTCCGACTCTGAATGTGAAATCGAGGTTTCTCCCCTGGCTCTCTGCACTGCCCCCATCCCCAACGGTGAGTTGATAATTCATAGGCCGATGGCCTGCCACTCGCCACTGCAACAGCCTTTTCTGAGTCTTCTCAACAAACAACTTGGTCCCCCCCCTTCACCGGTTCAGATTCGCTCTGAGAGTCATCTGAGCGAGGCCAAGAATTCCAGACTGGGTGAATCACGGATGCGCTTGACCATTTCCCTAAGTCAGGAACGCCGTATTGAATGCAAAACAAAAAAAAACGAAAGGCTTAGTTCTCCCCAAATATCCGATGGTGCACTTGCCTTCCAAGCGCTGAATGGCCCTGTTGCGGGCGACACCGGCATGGCTTCCAGGCCCGTAGCTGGGCGAATCCGGCCTCGTTGAAGGTCACTGCAGGCACCTGCGCAGCCCACCGGCGCAGCGACGCCCTGGCGCCGACTTGCTTTCGAGTCAATGGCCATGCAACGGAAAGGAAGTTTGGGACCGTCGGCCCGGGGAACAAGCCATTTTACTTCTCCGGAGAAGGGAAACGCGTCGCCCCATGAAGAAAACCAGGCACAAAGGGCAGTTCCGGGCAGAAGCAAGCAACCCCACGTTTCACGTTGCTTTCTAGCACGCGTCCCTTGCTTTGGCACAGCTATTCAAAACACAAACATGGGGCATGCGCCTCTGTCCAAGAGCTCTCCTGCAGGTGGAAAGCATGGCCAAGTCAGCCTGGGCGCAATTCACCACACTCCATGGGAGCTGTCCCGTTTTTGAGGCTGCAGTGACCTTCACAAAGAAAGTCATCCAAAGTGATCCCATGCCGAACCCACGTGCGCAGCGAAAACTTGCTCCCACGGACAATGACGCTGGGCTGGCTCTTGCCAGAATTGGCGAGTCGCAGCGCCACACCCTGAGCCCCAGGCAAGCGATGACGCAGCGGCACAGAGGGTCTGCAGTCGACAGTCGACTTGGGCCAGCGTCAGCAGCAAGCGCTCGAAGGAAGCCGCTGAAAGTATGTCTCCACTCTCACAGACGAACCCGGGAACAGTTCTCCACAAACCATCAAGCTGCAGGAGAAGAAATCAGCGCAGGCGTGCTGTGATAGATCTGAGTCCGGAAACCCAGGGACCAACCAAAGTACATGTGTCCCCCCCTCGGAATCGGAACGAGTTGGATGTCTCTCCTTGCCAAAATAGCCTGCAAACATTTCGGATTGCTTGGCCGGGGCGAGACAATCCGATTGTCTCCGAGGCTCAATGCACTACGGGCTTCAGTGGCGCCGCGCGAATGTTCCTCCGCACACAGCAATGCACCGCACTCGCATGCACATGCATGCCCACAGTGCCACACAAGTCTGTGAGGACATCTGTTTGTTGTGACAGTTTGTGATTTCATGATCTGTCTTTGTTCTTGTGACGCCTCGTCCAAACTAGTTGAGCCGCAGCTGTTGTGAATCATGGGGAATTTTGTGTTCGAACACCAAATATTGCTTTCTATCACAGGGAAACCTACCGACATTTGGGTACTTGGCGACCACTGGGTGAGGTAGCTTGAATTGATGGTTTCACACTTGGAACTCAAGCAATATTGCTCCACCGCCAAGCTCCAAAACACCGTCAGTCCAAGGGGTGTTGAACTGCCTTGGGCTCACTTTCGGAAAACAAAACTAGATGGCACGGGTAGAGTCTTCGAATCCAACTGAAACACAGTGGAATCCATCGATTTCCAATCGATGAGATTGCAAGGACACCTCTGCACGGGAAAAACAGGGTGTAAACTGCGCCAGGCAGGCGACAGGTCGATGCGGGAGTCGATCTCTTCGTCCACCTCGCCAACGACTGCCTGGTCGCATGGCGACACGCCCAAGATGGAGTCACGTCTGTCATGGGAAAGCCGACTCGAGATCGGCGGTGCGTTGCTTCCAAAAACAACGCGGCAGAAACGCACACCATGCGCTGCGAGCTCCTCAAAGACACGGGGCTTCAAAGACACCGGAGAAAGCCCAGTCAAAGTCACGCTGGGCTTCCGAATGAGATCAATGCGCTCGCGTTGGAGCTGTGTCAAGGGAAAAGTGACCCGGAAGTCCAGCATGAGGCACAATTACCATAAAGCAGAGCTGGGCCATGTCCCTGAGAGCCAAAGAAAGGGAAACAAATTTTGCTGGTCGCCTCATTTAGCAGCAAGCCCACACCGTAAGGAAATCTTATTTTGATAAGGACTTTGCTTTTTTGCTGCTACATTGTCATTTAGATGCATTGTCGCCTTCGATGCTCAGTTTCCTATTTTTGGAAGCAAGCCCGAACAAAGGCTTGTCGATTTCGCTTGCTTGCCTTGCTTGATACTGTTTTTCGTACTTGTTTGATAGCACAACAAAATGAAGAGCGCATCACACACTTTGCATTCAATCCTTATGCTGAATAGGACCAAACCACTGCGAGGGGTGTACCTGTGTACCTTCCGTGTCTGCAGAGCCCATACGGGTGTAACGACCCAGAACCTTCCAAAATGTGGTACATGTCCATTCGGTTTCCCTTACAACCAAAATAGACACACCTGCATTCATGTATCTGAAACAGCTGAGAAGGGGCGCGTCTTGTTGGTGAATCCCGAACACGTTTGCCTGGACGCCCAGAAAAGCTGTCACAAACTTTTGGGCCTGTCCCAAAAAGAAGGCAAGGGGAACCCCACAATGGCGGGCTTACCAAAGGAACAACCTGAGTGCGCTTGTAGGGCTTCGACCCACGTTTTGAGACAAACCCAAATCCAACTCGAAAGTCAGGGAAGATCCCAAGCTGGATGTTCTACTCAGGCGCCTTCGGCAAGCCTTGCCAAAAGCACTCTCTTTCTGGCACAGCTGCCTTCACAAACCGAGCACATGGATTGCTTCGAGCCCCGGAACCCTCAGCTCCCATGCATCCCCGACACTCTTCCAGCCGCCCCAAGCCACCCCGCAGCCCTGAGCTGAGACCCCATGGCTATCAGCTGTGGGGAAAAAGGGGACGCACGTGTCGTGTGGAAGGCGGTTGTAGGTGTCCTGTTGAAACAAGGGATGGCAGTACATCATCGGAGCCAACCTGCAACCAATGCTATCCACTTTCAGCCAAGCTGACCCAAAAGGCACAGCTATGGTAGTTGGAGTGAATGACCTAGAGGGTTCTTGCCTATCTGCACTTCCAGTCTTTGCTTCTCTGTCTCCCCTAAGGCCCGACGGTAGTGAGACTATCCACAACAACCACCTCGCTGGCGCTTCTGATGTTGAGTTCGGCAAAAAAAGGTTTTCCCAAAACGAGGATTGTGAAAACCTTGCTTTACATGTGTTACACTGCCCACAGAGCGGGTACCGGCGCCAAGGAACCTACATCAGAAGCACTGGTGGCATGGCCTAAACTCTTCCCCCCTCACCCCGCGGCAACAGGCCAGCAGGGCTAAGTTGTCCCCACGGATGACATAGAGTCCCAACACCACCTGCGGCTTGGCGCAGGTTGGACACGCCAGCTGCATGAGCACAACCTTCTCAAGAGGTTTCGGCTCGTGGGGGCACAAGGAGCCACAGGCGGACAAAGGTTTCCCGTTTCAAACTGGGCAAACTGATGAGATCAGCGACCGCGCACTCCGCTACCTCACACACTCCTTTCACATGTCGGCAAAGCATGCCCTAGCTCTTTTCTTGGCATCTCAGGAACCTGCCTGCTCAACGCCCTTGTCGGTATCGAAGACGCGCTCCTACCACCCGTGCACATGCTAGTATCTGCGTCTGGCATGGGATCACACTGAATCCAGCACCCAGCAAGGCCTATGACATGACCAATGAGTCTCCAAAAGAATCAGTCACAGGGTCCAGTTTGACTGCCTTTGGATGGTGATGCAAAGCTTTTTCTTCACAGGCTGTTCAGTGGCTAAACCTCCTTTGATAGGGGATCGCCATCGGCACTTTCAATCCTGTCTTTTTGTGTGAAACCCCAGTGGCCTTTCTGCCGGTTCTTGGAGACAACTTGAGGCAAATATCTCCTCGCCCACCCCCACCCCCACTGCAATCATATTTGGAGTCCCGACTGAACTTATACAGTGAACTGATGCTTAACCAGTTCAATATTCAACCAATTTAAACCTCCGTACTCTGCTAATACTACACCAATAGTAACTCGCAAACATGTGCTTAACTCCTTCCGTTTCAATCAGAAAGGAAGGATCCCATTGGACGAAGACCAAAAAAGACCGGAGAAAGCCAAAGCTCTACAAGCCAAACACGGCCCTTGACAACAATATCAGAAGTAGGGGGCGTAAGTTGCTTTCGGGAAAAGCTTTCTGAGCTCTGTCTCCGCAGCCAAGCAAGCACCGTCATCTGGGAAAAAGCAGCACGAGGAAAACTAATGAGCAAAGCCGATTGCTTACGTAACTGGCGAAGCCATTCAACCGAGTTGAACCGAGCAGAACCAAGCCGAACCAAGAAGCAAGTGCGGTTTGCAATTCAAAGGAAGCAATGGGGAAAACTCAACAGGTAATGAGCATGAACAACAAAACATACAGATTGATGAACCGGCCGACCGATATGCTTGGAAACAAGCAAGCGTGCAAGCAAGCCGCCAAGCAACCAAGCAACCAAGCAACCAAGCAACCAAGCAACCAAGCAACCAAGCAACCAAGCAACCAAGCAACTAAGCAACTAAGCAACCAAGCAATCAAGCAGCAAAGCAGGTAACCATTCAACCAAACTGCCATTTAAACGCTGCCAACACCACAGCAGCAAAAGGAAAAGGCTCAGGACAAGGAGGGACAAAGAAGCGGGCGATAGGTTCTCCACCCCCCAGGCGTTTTGCAGCTGGCCCCTCCCATTCGCTCCTGGCAGTCGCTAAGCACCACGTTGGAAGACTGGTCAAAACCCCGCAGCACTCCCACGAAGAGCTGGCGTGAGGTTTCGCTCGGCTTTTTGGGTTGGCCACTGGCTCCGCCTAGGCATTAGGCCCTTGACTTCCCTTTGCGTATGCAAATCCGAGATGCCCAAGATCCAAAAAGCAACAGGTCCGTAGCATCCACGCAAACCTGCGAAGAGACCGCTTTCTTTTTCTGCGAAAACCAAAGTGAGTTGAGGTGACGTTGATCTCTTTGGCTCATTTAAGATCAAAAATCCTTCAAACCCGTCAAAGACAAGACTCAAACCGCGCAATTGAGTTGATCTCTTTGGCTCCCTCAAGATCAAAAGTCCTTCAAACCCATCCTCCCAGATCCAATCCTTCAAACCCGTCCTTCACCCCGAAGACCCTCAAAGGCCAGGCCCCGGGCGCGGCCGTCGTTGGTGACCACGGAGATCTGCTGCTCCAGCAGCGGCTCGAGGCCCGTGGTGGCCTAGAAAACCCGAGAGGGGCAGTGGCCTGAGCTAACGCCCCAAGAGGGGACACCCAAAACACGGAAAAAGGTGTTTGACACGGGTGTGTCATTGATTTGTTTTGTTTGATAATAATAATAATAATAATACTAATAATAATAATAATACTAATAATAATAATACTAATAATAATAATAATAATAATAATAATAATAATAATAATAAATAATCAATAATACATAATAAATAATAATAAATAATAATAATAATAATAATAATAATAATAATAATAAAATAAATAATAAATAATAATAAATAATAATAATAATAATAATAATAATAATAATAATAATAATAATAATAAGAACAATAAGAATAATAATAATAATATGGAACCCCTTTTTGGGGTTGGTGAAGAAGGGAACCAAAAGGCAACCAACCACTTTTGGGGGGTCGTCTAAGAAAAGACACACCTTACTCCTGTGTGGTGGCATGTTGTGAAGTTGCGGCCTTCGGCACAAACAGCCTTGAACTCTGACCATGGGGAGGGAGGCTTGTTGCTGGTACTACAGAAGGTCTCATTTTTCTACCGCGAAACAAGCTGCAATATGATAGAAGGCTTGGAGCTATCATATCGGCAGGGAAACAGTGCAGTCACGGCATGTCTCATATCCCTCAGGTCCGGTATCATGAATCGAGTCAGGTTCTTTTCGAAACGGTCCAAAGGTAAAGCGCCGGCTTGAATTCTTGGGCATTGAGGTACACCTCCTTGTAGGAGGCGGAAGAACCCATGTCACAATGCTCCAGTAAACTCTTCCAGCTCCCCGTTCCTGTCGGTCGTCGTAGAACCTGCCGTGCCAAAGGACGGTCGATTCAATTAAGACTCCACCACACCGTCGTTCTGAAAGTCCACGTTAGCCAAGACTTGTCCTTCTTCGTTTGACAGATCTAGGAGGATGATCCGCATGCGCGATCGTCCTCCACCTTGGTCATATTGCTGCTGTGCGTTGGGTCCATAGCAGCCGACAAGGCAACCAATGCAATGATCATCTTCGAAACCGGCCGCTGAATATGCAAAGGCTGCGAAGAAAGTACTGTATGAGACTGGCCTGCTGAGAAATATGCTGGACAGGTCTTACAATCTCTACACAAGTCGGGGTACGATGTATATACATGCCCCACTCATGACAACACATCTTGACAGCTGACCAAGAGGATTGCAAGAACCCTCAGAGGCCTTCTGAAGGACCTAGCGGCTAGCGCACCAGTTGAGTGGACATCAACACAGCGACTGGCGCTTGAACGCGTGTCGAGAACACTCCAGGTCGCCTCATATCCCAACCGGATGCACTGCCCTCCCTTTGAATCAAATGCTCCGCCCATCACTCCCAACGGAGACCCCTGCCATTGGGCCGGCCGCACGGGACCTGGCATGGGAAAGCTCAACTCTGGATTGCAGCCGGGGCTGGGGATTAGCCAGGAGTTCGCTTACTGCACCCTGTGCCAAGTTGCAGCGTCTATCGGATATTGCAAAGCCTTCAAGACTGCCATAAGTCTTGAGCTGCAGGAATGAGAACCTCTCGACCACATGTACTATTGGAGACATCGTGTCTGCGTCTCTTCTTGGACTCTTGGACCTATCTCGGGTGATCAATCGCAAGCTGGGCCACAACGCACAACGATCAAAGTGCCGCACCGCTGCTTTTGCAACCCGAGTAAATTGCGCAAGTCCGAATCTCTTTCGGATCGGATGTCATGACAACAGGTCATGACTTGGACTCAGGATCGCGATTGTGCACAAACTCCGTTTCCAAGTATATATCAAGCATGAAAACCCCCAACATCCGGGGAACCAAGACCAGACCGGCGCTCAAATCACGGGAAGCACGTCTTCTAGGAATACAGGCCGGTACCACGAAAGATCAGCACAACTGCGCCGCTTCTTTGGGGGCAAAAGACCTTATTTCCCCAAGCCGGTCACGTGTTTGCGATGTGTATACCGCAGGCTACGTCTCTCCCCGAGACACGGCGCCACCCGGGCAGCTACCCGCTTCTTTTTATTGCATCTTCAACATGCTTGCCTTTACAACATGTCCCTTTCCCACAAGAAATAGGAATTGAGGTCGAGACGTCAGTTCTTTCTGCCGCTGGGGCGGGAAAAGGGAGAAAACTAGGAAGGCTGCATTGTTTAAGGCGCGCACACCAAACTTTAGGGTGTTCTGTTCAAAGGCAAATAATGCTGGTACTTTTGGTCGCCCGTGTGAATTCAAGATTAAACCCGTGTGGAGAGCCATTGCGTGGTTCGCCTCAACCTTCGCCCTCCAAAATGACGCTCAATTGGGGCGCTCTTGGTTTGCCAGTTCGCGCCTGCGCGCGCCCCTCGCCCACTTGCCCAGGCCAGCCCCGGCAACAGCTTTGTGCCCGACAGCTGCAGATTCGTTCGTCGCATCCGGGGCCCTCAAGGGTCGATCCGGTCTTTATCACAGCCATGCGGGGCTTTGCGCCTGTGAACCAACTTGAGCAAAGTGAAACGGTGAGCTGACAAAATGGCCAACGATTGGGGATGAAGGGATAACACGCCAGCTTCCGACTTGAAAGCCCATGCCCAGGAAAATCGGCGAAGAGCGCCTTGCACCTGTATGGGACCTTTGGATGGACCTTCGGAGACCCACTCAGAGACAAGGCGGTCAAATGGAAGCCGCTCGATGCTTGACGGACCCAGCAAAGAATTGATAATTCTGGGCCGAAGATGGCGGAGCCCTTGTCGCGGCATTTTTGTGATTCATTATCTTCTCTCCATTTCAGCCTGGCCGTCGTCGCAAAGACGTGGATCCAAATGGCGCAAATTGCTCCGGAGGCGTGACTCCTCAATCCATAATTTTCCTGGGGCATGCCTTTGACCCGAGATGCCGATCCCAGGCCGCATGGGGAAATCCTGGAAACCCGAGATCGGGCCCACCACCGGGCGCCCACCCTTGGGGATCCTGAATGCAGTCTCGGCAAGCAAGCATCCCACGATTTTGATGTTATTTTTGACTCCCCCCCAAGCTTGCAGAATCATCTCCAGCAACATGTATCAACTGTTCATACTTTCCAACATCACCTTTCCACCTTTCCGGAACGGCATTCGAAGCCACTTTTTCCGGTGCGCCTGCTCGGCAGCCTTTGCTGCGATGGGTGAGAATCGGGGCATGTCGGGGCCAGCCGCCCTTCTCAGGGCAAGCGTCGCGCGAACGGCTGGGCTCCCGTTGAGGGTCTTGCATTGCTCTAGGTACCGAGCTGTGTCGATCACCCAAAACAATCTAACAAACAAAGCCGACAAATTCACATCCGGGGTGCTCCGAGCCATCCCATTGTGCCACACTGGGAAAACTGAAGGGCGAGTGTCACACAAGGAACAAGGCTTGTCTAACCCAGCACCCTCTGTCAAACAAGCTGGGGCTTTCGCCTCGTAGAAAGCAGATCGTGAAAGTTTGAGTGCCAAATCTGGCCATGTGGCCAGTTTCCTGCCTCACAAAAACATGCCATGGGAAATGAGCCACAAACAAAACCCGGGTAAGTGAAGGTTAGTAAGGGACGATCCCAGCCATGAATAGCTGCAGCCGCCTTCTTGGTTCTTTACATGGTTCTGGGTCGACCATTTTTGCACCGATAGTTTGGACTGACGATCCATGCCGAGGCCGCCGAGCCTTTCGTGTCACTTCTCCGCGGGCAAGGCCCGCGCGCTTCCGCCGGGCGGAGGCGATTTTCATCTTCCGCCGGTCGAGGCTTGCCGGGCGGACAGGCGGAGCCTCTTTCAAGAGAAATATCCAACCTTTCACCCCTCCCCCCGCAAAGGAAAAAGCTGAAAGGTGAACAGGGAGCGGACTGCATCGCGATGAAAATTCACAAGATCCTCAGCTCCTCGCATCCTGGGACCCTTGTGCAAGAGATAAGCAAACGAGGTGATGGACTTTTTGAGCAGAACTCCGGAAAAGGTTGAGCCACCCCCCGCACTGGTTCCATGTTTGACGAGTGCCCGAAAGCATGTGATCCGTAATGACAAGATTAGCACCCCTCTTTGCTTCCTTCATTCTTTTGAAAGAACATGAACATATAAACATACATCTTCTATGTATGTGTATATATATATATACATATATATATATATATACATATATTGTCATGACAAAATCAGCTACAGCTGCATGGTTGAGCTTGTTTTTTTCCCAGGTCAGCTCGAGAATGCCCGGTTCCATTTAAGTGTTGTAAAACAGGCAGGCGCAAGGGGCTTCGGAGAAACTGGAACCTCCAGGCGCTCATGCACAACCCAATCTCAAGGGGTTGACGCCTACTAGGCGTCCCCAGGAATGCTTGCCGTTGCAAAGCAAGGCTGAAAGTTGACTCTGAATGGAAAGCTTCACGGAACCGCGGAACCGTCTTAAGCGGCCCTCCGTCTTAAGCGGTTTTCATGGCCTGGCAGTCCATTCGCACGCCCGCGACCGGGGATTTCCGGGCTCCGAGTCCTCCAGCCTTGTCTTGGGATGGAAATCGGATCACGTGGATTCTCTTCGAGTCTGAGGCTTCTGTCAAACGTTCCCTCAGCCCTTTCTGTTTCAAGGCCTTGTGTCACATGTCAAAGCCTTTGGCTTGGGCGGGAACCAGCACTCAGCCTGGAGTCAAAGAGATCAGAAAGCCTTCAGTGGCGTCGGGGGCTGTCATATGATATCATATCATAGCCCTAAATGCGCCAACCGACCGATTGCCAGCTAAGCCCTATCCGTCACGGGCCCCAGGCTCCGAGGCCCTGGTGGGCCCGGTGCGCCCGGTCCCATCGCGGCCTTCCGCGCTTAGCCCGGAAGGACTTTTGGCCTGGCACGGCGAAGCCCGGCGCACCCAAAAGGTGGTCAGCTGCCCTTTTTGGCTGATGCCGACTGAGGGAAAGAAAAGGTGTTGCCGTTGTCCAAGCCTCAAACGGATACTGACAAACAGAGACAGAGACAGCGATAGGAAGAGGCAGAGGCACGGGCAAAGACAGAGAGACTCACAAGCAAGCAAGCAAGCAAGCAAGCAAGCAAGCAAGCAAGCAAGCAAGCAAGCAAGCAAGCAAGCAAGCAAGCAAGCAAGCAAGCACCTTGGTTGCCCTCAGCAAAAGAGAAATCTCAAGGATAAGAACGCGCGAGCTGGGCAAACAATGGACGCTGCCTGGGCTAGCCAGAGTTGCTTGCAATCGCACTGGCAGAGTTATACCCTTCTGTGAAATGAATCTCCAAGTAGCCCAGCTACCCTGAACATCACTAAGCAGGCTTGCAAGACCGAAATATGACCCAAATCCAGGTGAAACCCTAACAAAAACTGAGTTGTGACCCCTCAATGGCAGCCTCCTGTTCGTTTGGAACACACATTTGTTCCGCCACAACTCGCCTTCATCGTCGCTTCAAGATCTCGAAGACGAGCTCCACGTTGGAGCGGCCCATCTCCTGGCCACTTGCAGGGGCCACCCAAGCCTGAGGTCGGACTGAGTTAGTACCCTGGTACACTTTCGTAGCGCCGGCTGGAAAATTGCAACCTTTAAGTACTCAAAGAACTTGCTCAAAGAACTTCACAGAAACTTGCTCAGAGAACTTGCACAAACAGACTGGCTTGCGCAAAGAAACTTGCTGCGAGAACTTGCTTCGTTAATTTTGCAAAGGAACTTGCTCAGAAAACTTGCTCAAAGAACTTTGCACACTGCCAATTACGTAGAGACCTTGGTCAGGGAAACTTGCTTGCAGATCTTGCGCATAGAACAGAATCAAATGACTTGTATACAACTCGGTCAACTTTGCTTCCGGGCCATCTGTCTTCTAGTCATATAAGGCGATGACCATCCCTACCAACCCGGAATGACCACGGTAATTAATTAGCATCGGCTCGTGACTCCCGGTCAGACAAGGCTGAAAAAACCGCCGAACGGCTCCCTCGCCGTTCTGGATCAGCTGGTTCAAGTCTACTCAAAGCCACCCAGAGAAGTCTACGACTGGGGCAAATGGCCGCCATCTTGGAGCTTGGAACTGCCGATGCCCAATCAGAGTTTAGGCCGTCTCACCGTCCCACGTCACCTCAAAAGCGGGTGTTTTGGAGACGGCGTCAAAGTTCCGGAGGATAAAGTCCATGCCTCAGCCACGCGAGCAAAAGCCTCCGAGAAGCAGAAGCCATGCACCTGTGAACCGGCCGATGGTCCGATGGTTTCGTGTCACATTTTGTTGTTTTTAATTTTTGGAACCACCTAAAAGAACAGGGAATCCCCTGCGTTTTGCTCTCTCAAATGGATTTCAAGATTGAAAAGTGGTGGCTGTATTCCTTCCTGGTCGCCTGAAGCCCTCTGGAGTCGATTGTTTGTCACCCCCTGGAATCAAACACCAAACTAGTGACCTGACCACGCCATGCTTACACTCTTCTAGGGTGAAGCCGCTGTGAACAAAGAGCAATCTCAGCAGCGACCAAATCCTTTTGGCACACGGGCCATTGCTTTAAACACAGCTTCACCATCATCAGAAAGGGGCCGGCCTTTTGTAGGTGCGGGGTGCAAAAGTGGGGACTGAAGCTTCGATGAATTTCTTCCATGCCGGAAGCTCCCGAAGCTCGTGTCTCTGTGTTTCGACCCTATTGGCCAAGGTGGGAGGGCCATCCCATCTCTGCCTCCAGCTGTTTGTCCACAAAGAGCAAACGGTAGGGGGTGAGAGAGAGAGGGAGAGAGAGAGAGAGATTCACGGGGCACGTCTCAAAAGCTCGTACGAGACGAGACCTCCTTGGTTGCAGGCGCCGTCCTTTGATTGCACAGACAAGCCCCGGACAGCTCTGCCGCAAGTCGTTGGCGATGTGCATGTTCGCCGCCTAGGCCGCTTCACGAAAAGCCGATTTTATTGGTGTGGTTGTGTCTGTCGGCTGAAGGACCCACTGTTTGGCACGCCCCCCTTACGTTTTCCTTTTGGGATGTTGCAGATCCAACCTTGCACACCACTCCTTTCCGGGTGAAAAGGCTGCTGTCTTGGATGCTTACCCCACACACCCCCGAGACACGGAGTCATACTTTGGAACAGACCTAGACCTGAAAGGTCGGGTGGCGTGCTGGGTGTGCCGGGTGGTGTGATTGCGTGAGACAACTGCTGATGCAGAGGGGAAGGCATGGGACCCTGAGGCTTTGTGATGTCAGATTCTTGCCGACGACCTTTTCTCCCCCTACCACACACACACACACACACCACACACACCACACACACACACACACACCACACACACACACACACCACACACACACACACACACACACACACACACACACCACACACACCACACACACACACACACACACACACCACACACACACACACACACCCACACACGCACACACCACACACACACACACACACACACACACACCACACACACCACACACACCACACACACCACACACACACACACACACACACACACACACACACACACACACACACCACACACACCACACACACCACACACACACACACACCACACACACCACACACACCACACACACCACACACACACACACACACACCACACACACACACACACCACACACACCACACACACCACACACACACACCACACACACACCACACACACCACACACACCACACACACCACACACACCACACACACCACACACACCACACACACCACACACACCACACAAACCACACACACCACACGCACCACACACACACACCACACACACCACACACACCACACACACACCACACACACACACACACACCACACGCACCACACACACACCACACACACCACACACACACACACACACACCACACACACCACACACACCACACACACCACACACACCACACACACCACACACACCACACACACCACACACACCACCCTCCCCCACGATTTTGTGGATTGTTTTGGAAAGTTGTCAAGAACCCAGTTGGTCAGTTTTCTGTGGCAGGTCCCCTTTTTGATCCCAGATTGCAAGTTGGGGAATTCTTGTTCCACCTGGTGGTAACCCTTTTGCGCTGGTTTGTACCCCCTGCCGCATGTTGCATCTCATCAACAAGCATTTGTTTGCGGCAGTTGACTGTTTTGACTCTCTCAGAAGATTTGTGCTTGGGATCTTGGGCCTGTTACCTGATGCCGGACTGGTGAAGTACCTCTGCAAGTCTGGAACCAGCCGTCGTATCGCATGACAGGTCAGGAAAGTGGAAACTGCCGCCTCCATGCATCTAGACCGGGCCGTGAGATCAGAACCCAATTGTCGAAATGGGAACCACCCGAATAGACCGGTTGGAATAGCAAAGCTGTAGGTTTCATGGGTAAGTTGTGCACTTCATGCCCGCTCGGCCCCTATCTCGGCCTGGAGGATTGTGGCGGCGCTATCGATGTTGATGGAAACTAGGATTTTCTTTTCACACAACCTGGCCCGCTTTCTCGATCGGTGCAGCACGCATGGCTGATTCAGGAAGCGCGGTTTTGACATGTTGAGAAAGACTCAGAATGCCAGACCGCCTTAAGCTTTTCCTGTGGGACAAATATGGGGATGTGACGATGTGAGGTCTGATTCTCTAGTAGGGCCTACCAAGAACCATCCCCATGATGTGCCCACCCAACCCCACCTCGAAAATAAGTGAAGGATGCGCGTTGAAATGGGACACTCGGATACCCTTGGCGTCAATTGAGCCAGGTCATGAATCTTTTGACATTGCAGCTGACGCCAAGAATCTGCTTCACGGCCAGCCAGCGTATCGCTTTGAAACCAGCCCGCTGGATTCCCTCAAACCGAGTAGAACATACGGTGGAAACAAGGGACTACAGCCTCTCACGAAACACTGAAGCGCGGACAGGCACCGGGATTTGCCCAATGACTGTTGCCAGGGTGGTGACTTCTTGTTAGGACCTTTTTCTACATAAACATTGGTGTTATCCCCAACAATCCCCGTGTCCAAAATCCAACAACTGTAGCTCTCAATTGTGGCCCCAACTGCCTGAACCCCATCCCCTTCCCCCCCCCCCAATTGCCTCGGCTCCCCGAAACCTTCCGAAATGGTTCTTTAAATGGTCCCGCTGCCTCGCTGAGGGTAGAAATCAGGGTTGGGCCCCTGCAGTTGCAACCACTATCGTTCAAACAACCTTGTTTTCTTTTTGCATTTCTTTGCACGGGGACCAATTGGTGAAGACCAATTCGCGCAGAAATTGCATTAACACCTGCCTCTTCAAGCGCTCGATGCCAAATTGGTCCGCCGCCACGAAGAGGTCCATGGCCTCAAGGAAATCGTGAAGGGAATGGCCGAAAACTTGGAGAATGAATCCAAGGGTCGAGTTCACTGGGCCGTTGGAAATCCGTCAGAAAAGAAGGAAGAATGGAGCAGGGCAGACATGGCAGATATGGGTGCCCATCCCGGCGTGGATCAGTCACTCGTGTTGGAGACCCAACGGATTCAAGCATGTAAACTGGGCAAACCCTCAAAGGCACCACATTTCAAAAGGAACGCAGACGACTGGTCCTGCGTCCGCGTTTTGCATGAGCAGAGCCAGTCGGACAGCCTCAACACTCACCCAAGACAGGCCTGGGCCGATTCGACCAAAGCCGAAACCGGTCATGGTGTTGGGCATATACTGTGTGCCCAATGCATCGAGCACTGGTACGTAGAGGTGCATCTCACGTAGGTTGTAACCTTGCTTATTTTTGCCAACTGGCCATGGGTCAAAATCCCGTACTAAAATAGACTAAAATGGGTGGTTCATTGGTGTTGACCCACAGCCAATTAGGACCAGGGCTACAGCCTATTGCCTGACCTCTAACTTTGCCGAATGGGGCCCTTCAACCAGAGCCATGATCACCTGCTTCACGAGTCCTCTGGCTGTGATTCCCCAAGTAGTCTGCAGCTCAGCATTGCTGAGCACGACATCACTTAGAACCCACAAAGCGGAGAAGCAAAAGGCGAAAACAACATGTCTCAGCCAAAGCCCTTTTTTTTTCTACCCAGAAGCTCCTGGCGCGTTCAATGGATTACCCCTCCATGAGACACCCCGGAGGTGGTCGGGGGTCTCAAAACCGGGTTGTTTGAAGGCCCTAAATCGATCGAATTGGAGCCTCTGGGTAAGCGAAAAACGATCAAACAAAATGCACTCTCCCCCCGGCTCGCCCCCTCGGTTGGCATCCAAAATCTGGGCCCCGGCGATGTCCATGGAGATTTCGAACTCGTCGGTGTACAGATACCTGAAACATTGGTCGCTGGTGGGAGGAGCAAACCTGAACGGTGGCAGCCCCCAAAGACGGGCCGGTTAAACATCGTGAAGACCCTTATCCCTGTGACTGCCTTGTTGCTTTGGCTTAAACCGGACTCCCTTGTTATCATCAAAACTCGGAAGATGCCAACTCACAACATTGTCCCTCCCGCCCAATGACATGTTAGGCCAGCCCGGGACATGCGACACTGCCACAACCATGCCAGCCTCTCCAAGAGAGGGATCAAAAAATGGAAGTCCCAACTTTGGGCCCCAGTGCTCTTTTCCGAGATCAAAGCGTCGTGAGTACGACATTCCCTGCTTGAGCGAGCCTCACGTGCCTACCTCAAAAAGGAGAGCAAATGGAGCTCCATGCCTTTCAACGACCTGTTGCTCTTGTGCCAAAATCTCACCTGTCAGCGAAGCACTGACGCCTGGCCCTTTGCCGGGCTTTTGAGAAAACGGGGGTTGGAGGGTGCAACATGGTAATGGTTGCACGCATTTGGCGTATGACAGGAGTTACCTGTCTCCCCAACATTCAAGCCCGAGCTTCCTGGTTAACTCTGCGTCCAGGTAGCTCGAGCAGGGCCAGGAAGACCCGATGCGAGACGTTGTTGATGGTGATGGTCTTCTGCTGTGCCTGCGGAATAAGGGCTTCAGAAGGTGCACAGTGTTTGTGTGTGTGTGTGTGGGTGTCAAAATAGGACCCAATAATTCTGTGGTTTCTCTCGATTCCCTGAGAATGGTCCCCTCAGAAAACTCAAACCCATATTTGAGATAAAGGGACCCTCCAAACCAAAATAGAACAACTTCATGGGCCGCAGGGGTTTCCGTCCAATTTCCCCCCCCCTTTTTGTTCACCAATTGGGTTTCCGGTGGCCGAAAGGAAAAAAGGGGGAAGTATATGCCTGTGAGTTTGGTTGGTTGGTTGGTTGGGTTGGGTTGGGTTGGGTTGGGTTGGGTTGGGTTGGGTTGGGTTGGGTTGGGTTTGGGTTGGGTTGGGTTGGGTTGGGTTGGGTTGGGTTTGGGTTGGGTTGGGTTGGGTTGGGTTGGGTTGGGTTGAGTTGGGTTGGGTTGGGTTGGTTGGTTGGCTAGTTGGCTAGTTGGCTAGTTGGCTTGTCGGTTGGCTGGCTGGCTGCTGGCTGTGGTTGTGGCAGTGGCTGTGGCTGTGGGCGTGGATGTGGCTGTGGATGTGGCTGTGGCTAGCTGGCTGGCTGGCTGGTTGGTTATTGATTCTTGTCAGCATCCGGCAACGTTCACTCTTCGCCTCCCGCATCTGGCCCTCAAACATGGCACGGAAGTAGGAGCAGCGCATGCAGAGCAACTTGTGCGCATAGACCTGCCAAGCGACCAAGCGGCCAAGCGGAAGCCACTAGGGTCGCGCGAACCCCACAAACGGACCCCCAAAACCCAAACACGCGCGGAATCGGAACGGGTACAATGTGAAGGCCGTTCAGCCTTACCGACCCCAATTCAGCCACCTTGACCTCAAAGTGAACAAGTGCAGGTGCAAGCACGAAGGCAAGCGAGAAGCAAGCCAGCAAGCAAAGTCAAGCCATGCTAAGAAAAGCAACGCGGAGCGAGGCGACCGCCCAGCAACCGACCAGCAAGCAACCACAGCGACTAACCAGCGACCAACCAGTAGCCATGCCATCCTTTGAGGAGCACCCCATGAAAAAGGGCCAGGCGCCCGTTGCGGAATCCGCATCTGATGCAATCAACCCGAGTTCCACGCTGGCAGGAAATTGAGTTGGCTTGCCAGGTTCGAACGCTTCACTTGCAGTGAATTCAGCAAAGGGCTGCGATGAAGTCAAATTAGGCGGTCGGGAAATCGAGAAAGGGGCCTGCCCTTCTTGTGGCAGGTTAGCAGTTTCATTGTCCAATCCCGTGCCGCAAACATGCCAGCTCGGCCGCTTTGCCCTCAACGAGAAATGTAACATCCGACCTTTGCTGGCCGCGTGTCTCTTTCTGCTGCCTCCATCTATCCGCCGACGCTTGAACTCCAGAAGAGCATCACACAAACGAGGGGTGAAATCTACAACCTCTGTGCGGGTCATCCTCGGGCAGCCAATAGCGCTAGAAGTACTTGGCTGTCTATGGTCGGTGGTCCGCTCGCGACACTTTTGTAAGTTGTGGCTGAACCAAGGAAGTTCTGCGCGGGGATTAGAAGATGTTCTCAGGACAGGAGAGACCTGCTGATCATGGTAGGCCTGTGGCATGAATCTACGTCTTCCAGATCTTGAGCTGAGGCAACACTGAGCTGCGGGCAACTTCGCATCGTTCAGGAAGTCCCGGAGGTCGGAGACCTGAGGCCCGGAAGCGGAACGGCGTGAGGAACGAGCCCAGAGGGCTGACTTCTGCACATGGCACCAATGTCAAGTACACTTAGCAAATCCAGAATGGGACACGGGAACAGGCCAAGGGGCGAAGAGCTTAAGTCCTGACGGGAAGGAACGGGTGAATCCCCTGGAATACGTAGAGATACACAGATGTGCGACTGCGAGGGGAGCACCTGACTATCATGGCCTTGACGAGTCTTGAGCCCTCTGGAAAAGTACAAAAGTAGTGTACGTTTTTGGATTGAAGAAAAACAAATCCTAGAAAGCCGTCTGGAGAATCGGCTCCATCCCCATGTACTCGTCAAGCTCTTTCCGCTGGGCTCCGCCGAGGCTGGGTCCAGCGAGCTGCTGGGGATGTCGATGTTCACCTCCGTCGCCAGGCGGAACCTCGGCGCGAAGCGGACGTGCTCGCAAGCGCCGAAACCGGAGTGCTGATGGGAACCTGGAGCAAAACCTGGGGAAACGGGCGAAACGGGTGGGCCAGTGGCTCAAAATCTGCCTCGGCAGTCCAAGAGGCCAGAACTGCTATCATGAAATCATGGATCGAACCAGTCCTTTGACCGTTTGACCCCGGGCGCTCGTGAAGTTGTTGAAACCGTGCTCACGTTGCTCGTTCAGACACGCTCAGTTTGGGTGGACGCAATTTTGCGGACGAGGCTACTTCAAGCCAATACTGTTGAAGCTGAAAGGACAACCCTGGCAAACATCACTCATGACAGAGGGGCATTCCAATGCATCCAAGCGATGTCAAAACGCGTGTTCCTGCTGCGGCATGCTCAAATGCTTCTGCGTCGGCGTATGGCCACAGCTTTTGTTGATTATGTGGCTATGAGCATCTCTGCAGACTCTGATTACTCGGCTGCCCTCCAAACTCGCGTTTCTCCAAATTCACCACATGTGCTGCGGCTGAGAAAAGGAAGCCGAGCAGAACCAAACAGCTGAGAACCACCAAACCCCGGCATGCTCCCCCGTCTCAAAAGATCCAACGTCCCGCACAATTGTTGCAGCCACTGCACGAGTACGATTTGAACCGCGGACCATGTTCCAATGGAGCAACAATAATCTTGATTGTCAAATGCTCAGTTTGACATGGAAATGGCATGGCGTGCATAAATATTTGTTCACATTGCCACTCTCAAGCAGTAAACCTCTCCTTCTCGAAGAGAAAGCCCTGAAGCGATTCGGCTCCTGACTTCGGAGATGGGTTGTCTCATTCCTCCTCTTGACCCCGGCAATTTGGGAGCTTCTTTGAGGGCATCCTTTTTGAGGGCGGTTGTAAACCAAAGTTAGAAGGGGAAACCACTGTTTCGTTGCTCCCCCATTTCAGGCAGGGCTGGAACCGCCCACCAAAACCTCCTGGCCCCAACAGACCTCCGGCCATTGGCCAAGGCGCTGCCAGAAGTCATTGAGCCGCTGCTGGCCGTCGTAGCCCCCAAAGACATAGAGGGAGTTGTTGTACCTCAGGTGCCCGCGGGTTTGAATCACTTGATTGAGGGACCAAGGAGCTTCGGGCCGCCTCATGCCTGTGTGTGTGTGTGTGTCTGTGTGTCTGTTTTGTGTTATGTTGTGCTGTGGGGTGTGGTGTCGTGTGGCGTCGTGTTGCGTGGCGTTGGACTGTGTTGTCTTTTGTTGTGTGGCGTCGTGCGGTGTCGTGTTGTATGGTGTCGTGTCGTGTCGCGTGGCATTGCGTGATGTTGTGTGGTGTCGTGTGGTGTCGTGTGGTGTCGTTTGGTGTCGTGTTGTCGCTTTGCATTGCGTTGTGTTGCGTTGTGTTCTGTTGTGTTGCAAGGTGTAGTGAAGTGTGGTGTCGCGTCGCGTCGCGTCGCGTCTCGCTGCGGTGCGTTGTGGTGTGTCGTGTTGTGTTGTGGTGTGGTGTGGTGTTGTGTGTTGTGTTGTGGTGCGTTGTGGTGTGTTGTGGTGCGTTGTGTTGTGTTGTTGTGTTGCGCTGTTGTGCGTTGATGCTGTGTGTTGTGTTTGGTTGTGTTTGGTTGTGTTCTGCTGTGCGTGTTTGTGTTGTGTGTTGTTGTGCGTCGTGTTGTGTTGTGGGGTGTAGCCACCCCAAATGAGCAGTCATGCCACTTTAGAGCGACTACTACGTGTTTCCTAGCGCACGCATTCGGGACATGCAAGTACACTCGGACTCACGCTGACTGCCAAAGCGTAGGCCTGCCAGTTTTCCAACGTCTTCTCATGTAAAGGAGCAAAGGGCTTTGCAACACTTGAATCAAACAAGCTGAGGTGGACGAACTTCGCTTCGCGCCAGTCGGTGGCTTATCAACCAGAGCGTGGATTTTGTCCACAGCGCAAGCGCTCGCAGCCAGGGCCAACTCCTCTCAGGCGCTGGCACGTCACAGGTGTGGCAGAAACCTCAGCTCCCGTCAGGACAGTTTTTGTGGGTGCGTCAGGGTTTTAAGGCTGCCCTTTCGCGGGGTTGAAAGGACAACCAAAGGAAGCACCGTTGTTGGACATGGATCCAAATTGGGGACCCGGCAAAGGGGCCTGAGCACCTTGAGGCCGGCCAGAGGCCAAAAAAAAAGAAGGACTCAAACACGGGCCTTTGCGGCCTCCCAAGGCGCTGGGTTTCGTCCCTTTAGAGCCCAATAAACCCACTGCTCCCAGGAGCTGCGACGCCATGAAAGCCGCCCACCGATGTCTGTCCTCTTGAAGATGCCTACTTGAGCTCGCGTCCAAACCAGGGATCCACTTGGATACGGTTGAAATTAAAATAAAAATTTATTTATTTGTTTATTTTAAAAACGGGAAGCCACTCCTCGGAATCCCTTTCCTCTGTGGGCCTGGCGTGGGCAGGGCACATTGGCCTTCTGAGACGCACCGGGCGTGGGCCGCACCTCCAGGGCCCCGAAGCCGCCGCCCCGCCGCCCCGGGCGACGCCGGGACTTGAGATCCGAATTCGGTTCGGAACCCAAAGACGGTCATGTCCTCAATTTCTCAATCCCCCCAAAGCACAGGATGCCATGCCAGCCATCTTGCGGGAAAAACGGTGTTTTTTTTGTCGGTTTTTTTTTCCTTTTTTTTCTGGGGCTGTCGTTGATGAACAACAGCTTGAGGGCACTCTGAAGGGGTCTGACAGGCAAAGGAGTAAATTGGTGGCTGAAAACAATCGAACTCCAGCTGCTGCCACCACGCGTAATGGATCCCTCTGCAACACCCTCTCAAAACCGTTTCTGCCCTGCCAGGATTGTCAATGTTCGAATGCACCGGATTCGGCGATGGACGCGCCTCAAGCCACTGCTCCGTTTCGAAGCTGAACGCGTACCTAACGCCCGCCCGGTCACAAACCCTCGGCGCGGGCAAGGTCACCTGGCAGGTAAGTGGACATGCTTTATCATTGAAGTGTCACTAGAAACCGAGGCTGTCTGCCATGCATCACGCATCGTTGCTTTTATGGAAATTCAAGACTACAGAGATTCTTCATCAGAGGGCCATGTCTGTTCTCAGCTTGTCTAGTGACAAAAGATCCTGGCTTTGCTGAGCAATCTGAGACAAGAACTCTCGACCGCCCCTTCCAAGCTGCGGTGCTTTTGCCATCCACAAAAAGCAACAAGCGCCTTGCCCACCGCCGCGTACAACCTACAAACAAGAAACGCACCTGCAACATGGTCATTTGTTCCGCTCCCCGGAACTGGCATTATCTGCCCTTCACTGGAATGCAGCCCTCTCGCCCATGGCAATTAGCTTCCTGTGGCACCCTCCCACCATCTCCCACTCTCCAGGCGCACAAATCGTTTCGCGCGCTGCCGGTGCTGCCGCCAAAGAGGTACATGGAGTCACCACAAATCACGGCCTTAGCTCCGAGTGCCGCATGCACGCTGACGCCCGCATGCAAATGGGGTGTGTTTTTGGCACTGAGAAGGCTCGCGAGTACGGTGAAAACTACGGCACAAAAGGCGGGCCTATGCTGGGCAAGCTCCTGTTTCCTCACCTCGGGTGGCAAAAAATGTCGCCCCTGTGCTCATCCTCAGGAGCGCCTGTGGCTCAAAGCAAAACGATGCAAAACCCGGAACATGGGGTCCCGAGGCCGCGGCCGAGTGCGAGTCCCGCGGCGAGGGGGGCGGCACCTGCCCCGTGGTCTCCACCAAGCTCCACCTCGCGCGAGGACCCCCGTCGGACCCGCAGGAGACGAAGGGCGACAGGAGGGGCCCAAAAGGGCCTTGCAAAGGGCCAGCTCTGAAAAAATGGCAAGAATTGGGTGAGGGGCCACAAGCATGATCCCCCTAAGCCTCGCGCGCAATTGTAAATCCGGCCAGGTCGTCTGAAGCTCGCCCGATGTGTGGTTTCCGCTCCAAATTGGGAGCCTAGGTAGATCTCCTTTTCAATCGTCTATTTGCTCAAGAAGCCTTGGTCCCTGCGTTCCCGCAATTTCGGACACCGCTACTTCAGCTTACAACTAACCTGAGGTGGACTGCATCGTCATCCATCCTTCAGACAATACTGGACTACATCTTCTTGCAGTGACAAGTGGATGCCGGCAGTTTCAGCCTGATCGTTCCCAAGTCGCGGAGGGGCCCAAATCATCTCTTGGCTTACCACCCGCATATGTTCTATCAAAAAAATCACGGCAACCAAGCATAGAACCATGTCTCTCGGGTGAGTGCGTAACCGCTCGTTTTTGCCGCCTTGAGCCGGCCCGATGTCGTTGCCTCGATGGAAGATGGGCCCTTTACCCGATTCGGCGGGGCCTGCGAGACAATAGCAAGATGCAGCCGAGGTTCTGTGACTAAAACTACGCTCGTGACAGGGCAAAGCCCAGATGTCTCCTGTACCAACCACGGCTTTATCCTGCTTACCAGGGGGATGAACCTCCGAGTCACTGTTGGGCCTCTGGCAGCCCTCGCGACCAGGGCAAAAAGCGCTGGAACACGTGGTTCCTCAGTTCAGCTTGTAGCATAGCCGGTCTGTCTTAAGTACGCCTTGCGGCAGACAGCACGGGCAGTTGCATCTTCTCACAACCCAGTGACACGTCCGAAAGGTTGTCGGAGCAGCTGTTGCGTTGTTGTTTTATTGTTTTAGCATCATGCACCCCAACAACGGGACATCGGGTTTGAACGTTCAAACCCCTGCGCAGGGCGCAAGCAAGAGCAAGTTGTCTCAACAGCAAGAAGCTGTTTGAGCCAATGGAGCCTACCTCAAAGCGAGCCGACGCGCCCGATCCATGGCCCGGCGCTGTTGGAACGTGCTCTAAATGGCATCAGCCCCCAATAAAATTATTTAAGGAAGCGCCCGGGCCACCAATGGCATCGTGAGATCACTCCGATCCCTTCCCACCTTTCATGCCCTCTCCGGTCGCCTCAGCATCCGCCACGCCCTCTTGCCAGTAGCGCATCATGCGGTGAGGAGAGAACATGAAAGTGCAGTCCTCAGCAACCAAAGCCCCCACGCAGCGCCTGGATGGCTCACAGTCACACTTCAGCTGTGCATGATGAGTCTCAACGAATGGATGCCAGTAGAAACAACCTAACACACGTTGAACTCGTCTTTTTGACTGTCCTCTGAGTGCAATGCGTTGCAAAACCAAACATGCGCGTGTGAGCTGCCGCTTTCGCTAGCTACAAGGAACATGCCCAGCGGCCGCTGGCGGCCCCAGGATCCCTATGAATGCGTCATACACATACCAACACTGCAATTTGCTTCATGTAAGATCAACCGGCTAATAGCGACCGGTTAAGATCAATCCATGTATATAGCTGACCATCTTAGCCGGTATCAACCGGTGACCATCTTAGCCGGCTAAGATCAATCCACCGAATGGCGAAACACGTGGTCTTCAGGTCGAATCCAAGCGAGGTGCCCAGGCCGCCACCAGCGCCTGAGTGCCCAGCCGCCATCGGCGCTGGCCCAGCGTGCCGGGAAGCGCCAGGCCTCCGGACGGGGCCTTCGGCATCAAACCTGGCGACCTCTGTCAGAAGGAATGAAAAAAAGGGCAAACCAACTTTCGGCCAACCTCAGCCGGATGGGGTTTGACAGATTCCCTCAAGGCAACTACCCAGAATACTTTGCCACGGGATTCCCTTGGCACAGAAAGTGGCCACCCAACACCATCTCCCACGCCCCCCGTTTCCCGCGTCCTGGGTCCGGGCAGATGTCCACCTCCAGCGCGCTCACCGGCGCCACCGTCACCGTGCTGAGCGGCGCCGGGGCGCACGGCAGCGGCTCACAGATCCCGCCGTCCTCGGGACTTCGGCCAAGACACCTCCGAGCCTCCGGGCCCAAGCCACGAAATATGCATCTTTATATAGAAATATATATATATAATACAAGAGGAAAATAACAATATATACTATGTGTATAAAAATATATTTATTTATTTATGCAATGTACAGGTTCAGCTCGTTCTTTGCCTTTAGTTCACTTGGGTTTAATCTTTCCTTAGCCTCTTGGCGCAGCGGCATTTGGGAGAACCGCGGGCCAATCATGGCGCATGAGCCCTCATCAAGCGGCCCTGGCCCTCTGCCATATCCCTCACCAAACTGGGTGAATTCCATTTGGCCAGGGCAGGGGTCGGGGAGGGGGGGACCGTCAACCAACCTTTGCAGTAAGCCTTTCAGACCTGCGCCCAGCGGCCCAGTGTGGCTCGCCGTTCACCTGGACGCCTGGCGAGTCCCAAACGCAAACTCCCAATGGCAAACCCCCCGAATGCGACACCACGTTTGGTCTCCAAACCGTGGAAAAATGGACTCATTCCAAAACCTGAAACAAGAATCGGAAGCCCAGGGCCCAAACCATCGTTTCACCCCCCGAATCGGTGAGCTCGTGCAACAAAGTAAGCCATGCGGCACGGATGCCACGCTGCCCGGCCTTCATATGCGAAAGAGGAGGACGCTTGCAGCACAGCCAGCAGCTCCTCGTTGGAAGAGAAGGTGGAATACCTCACCTGAGTTCTGTGCGGCGTGCAACCGCGCCGCCGCGGGCCGCTGATCGGCTGACATTTGAAAAGAAAAAACTGTGTGGCACGCGTGTCTCAAATTTTGGGGCCGGGTGCACGTGTGTTGCTCTTTAAATACCAAACAAAGCATTCCCTATTGTAAAACCCTTCTGGGTGTTTCTGGAGGCTTTCTGGCACTCGCGTGTGGGACATCTCGTGGCGTTCTCGAGCGGCCCAAGAGTCCGGCCCTTTCGCTTGAGTCACTACACTCGCGCATACATCCTGGTAGAACCCCACAGATTGCAAGCAGGCCGTTTAAGAATCTAGTTAGGGCTGGCTTACTAGGGCTATGTAAATTGTGGGGTAGGATTAATTTGGGTGCAGGATTTGATGATTTTAGGGGTGTTGGTATTCGTCTTTGGGGCGTGTCTTAGTCTTAGGCTTCGAGCTTCGCGCTTTCATTCACCCGGCATTCAGTCGGCTTCGGTCGTCGTCAGTCACGGCTGTTGGTAGCGGGTGTCATTTGGATGCTCGGTCAAACCTCAGAACGTACAATAAGGCCCGACCGTTTTGTTCAAAGAAACGCGTCAAAAACCAAAGAAAGGAAGGCTCCTCCATTGCTGAAAAGACATGCCCTGTCGAAAGGACCGCAAGCAGTAGGACCATTGAAACGGAATCTTGGTTGGAGATTCTCACGTTTGCTTAATTTTGCTGAGCACCCCCATCGCCTTCGTTGTCTAGGTCGTTTCGTGGTTGAACCCCAAATAGCCTAGGGTTGCATTTCGGGGTTAGAGGTATTAGGGTTTCATGGTTAGGAGAATTGAGGTTCGGGGTTAGGAGGGTTTGTGTCGCCTTCCCCCACTTCATTGCAAAGCATTCCCAACGGCCTCCGTCCCCGCTCTTTCACCAACCGAGACGCGGGTGTGGCACCAAAGATCATCCCCCCTTGGGTGCACTGCACATGCAAACGCCCCGACAGCTGCTGGAAGGCGTCTTTCGGCATGGCCCCGGACTCCTGCGAGGGGGGGGGGGGACAAAAAGACCTGCGGAGCAGCTTTAAAAAAAAGAAGGAAGAAGAATCACAACACACAGCCGATTTGGGACCCTGTTGTTTTGACAGCCTTCGGAATCCTCTTCACAAATGATGCTTGCACTGTGTGAAGTCAGCATCTTTCACGGAATAAGGGGCTGGCCGTTGCTCGAGACCCTCGCCCAGGCCCCCATGCCTCGACGGCCCGGGGGATCAACCGCGCAGGGTCCCAGACATCAGCAAGGCTCAGGTGCCGGAAGAGGCGGCCCGACTGCAGGTAGCCCTCCGCGCGCGGAGTGAGTTGAAAACGAGCTTCGTGCTAGCAGCGGCGGAATTCTTCTTAACCGCCATCTCTACAAACGCATCGTTCAAGTACCCAGGGCGCATTTGTAGGCAAAGGAGATTCAGGTACATCCTTGACTGCATCGTCGACTACAACCTTCCGATGGCAATGCAACCTCATCTGACTTTTGGCAGGGATTCTTTGAGGTCATGCGACAGACCCCAAAAAGGCTGCTTGCCACAAATCAATCCAAGTTGAATCTTGGAAGAACGGAGGGTCCCACTAGCACTGTCAATTCGGGCTAAGGTCACCAAACCATGTTGGCCATGCCATGGGTGGCTCAAAATTACAGACCCAGAGGTTGCTGCTCTTTCTACATGTTGGGGGAGAACCTCCTAATGAAACACTTGCTGTCAGCAACTTTGAACTGACCACCCCCAACGTTCCCAGCGCCTTCACTTTCTCCAGCGCTTCCGGGCCGCAAAGGAAGAGCGCCCCCACCAGGGCACCCCCGCTACAGCCTGAGATACCCACCGATTGCGAGGCGAGCGAGAGGCTTTTTGCGCGGAAGTGTGGGGGAGGCCGGGGAGGGGGTCTTGTTCACTATCAGTAGCATGTCCATAATCACGATTGTTGTCATTATCATCCTTGTCGTTTGCGTTGTCGCTGTCGCTGTCGCAGTCATTGTCGTTGTCGTTGTCGTTGCCGTTGCCGTTGCCGTTGTCGTTGTCGTTGCCGTTGTCGCTGTGGCTGGCTGTTGCTGTTGCTGGTGCTGTTGCTGTTGCTGTTGCTGTTGTTGTTGTTATTGTTGTTGTTGTTGTTGTTGTTGTCGTCGTCGTCGGCGTCGGCGTTGTCGTTGCCGTTGTCGTTGTCGTGATTGTTGTTGCTAGCGGTGGCGGTTGTGTTAGCGTTGTTAGTGTTAGTGTTATTGTTTTTCGTCGCTAAAATTGCTACGTCATGAGTAGTATAATTGATAGCAGTATTGTGTGTTATTTGGTACGACAATTTTTAGTATGCTGTGTATTGTTGTTGTTTTTTTCTTATCAATATTATTCTTACTACTAGTGGATTAATGTTATTCTTATAATCATCAGCACTATTATCATCATCATCGTTACTGCTACTGTTAGCATGATTGTTTTGTGCATTGCTATGTTTGTCATTGCGACTAGTCAATTATTATTGCTATGTCATGATCAGTACTTTCTTAAAATGTCGCTATTACTATTTAGCATCGTGCTGATCTTTATCATCAGTAGGCTCCACGGTTTCTGCGGGATGGGTTGCTTGAGACTCTGAGATAGCCTTATGTGGCCTTGCTGGGCTTGACGTGATGGCCGTCCCTGGAGCCTTGAGGGGTGAAGCTAAAAAGCGTTGGGGAGCGTCCAAAAGGGTTGTGGCTTGGGGACTTAGCTCAATTGACCTTGTTGGGGGCCACCTGATTTGGGAGGTTTTTGAAAGTTGTCGAGGGTCAATCGACTTTAGGTTTTTCAGAGTTTGGTCTAGGGAGGCAGCTGGTTTGAATGCGAAAATCTTTCTGCGTTCTGCCAGGCCAAACTGCACACATAAATAAACTTTTAAAAAAAGAAACAAAAACAAAAAAGGAGACAAGAATAAGTTGATCACATGTTTGTGTCTGCCTATTTCCTGGGGCAAGTTCGGCGACACTTCGCCCGCCAACGCGAGCCAAAGCGCCATGAACGCAGCGCACGCTCTCCACGAAGCGCCTGCTGCGCAGCAGGCCCTCTGCGACGCCCGCCTTCGATCGAACCACAAAAATGGCTGGTTTCCTTTCTTGGTCGACGTTGGAAGGGGAGCAAAAAAGATCTTTTTTAGCAGTCAAGTGGGATTTCCCACTAAACCACAATAAGCAAAAATGAAAATTGTTTCCCAACAACAACCATGCTTTAGGCTTCCCTTTACTACCAGGGTACCTTCAAGACACCCAAGAGACTCAGGGACTCTGGCGGAGAGAAGGTCCCGATTGAAACACAGCAGTTCGAGTCCAGTTCTTGAGTACTCCAAGGCAGAGTCGGATCCAGTGATTCATTTCCAATGCAATGACCCGTGAGTTTAGGCCGATGCGCTATCAAAAATGGAACCCGCCTTGAAAGGAGTTTCCTGTGGCATTGTCTAACAGAACATTGAGAAGGGAGTTGTTGGGTGTGGAAGCCCCAAATCCCAGCGAATGGATTTGAGGTGTGGCTGACATGGCCATCGCCCATGCCCTTCCGCCCATTGCGCCCGTTCCGCCCATTCCGCCCATTCCGCCCATTCCGCCCATTCCGCCCATTCCGCCTGCCTGGTACACCAGCAGAAGAGCAGAGGAGGAGAAGCTCAGCGCAAAGCCATCATCTCCAACCATCCGCGCCAAACAGCCACGCTGGCGAGAGAAAAGCCAGGAGTTAGAATCGGATAGCAGGCGTGCAGCTGGGTGGGTCAAAAAAGGGACCCTTAAAACATACACAATATAAGCGACCCAATTTCAAGGGATCGACCCTTATTATGCGTCAAGAATAAGATTGGTTGACCTGCCACTGGTGGCGTTCGAATGCCAGCGAGCTGGCTGCTTGGTCTACTGCCATCTGCGCACGACGTGACCATGCGCTCTAAGCCAGACTACAGGACGAGCAAACCACAGCAGACCTCAACTCCAGAACATGCAACAGCATTCCCCGTCCTTGACCTCTGGGCTCTGCAACTGTGATCAACAAGCAGAAGGGATCGTGATGTGTCTTGATTTTTTGTTGACCTCCTGTCTCGCCTCGATCGAGAGATTCATAAAAACACAAATCAAATGGCTGGCTCACCCAAACGAGGTCCCCACATGCAAACAATATTCCATGAGGGGCGTAGTTGTAAGAAATCATACACCGTCACATTGCTGCTTCACAGTTGCAACGGCAAAAGCTGCCCTGTCCCCTAGAGCCCTAAACCGCCAGCTCTCAGCCTAGATCCCGTTCCGGCATTTTGGGGCCGTCAAAGTGAGCTTCCTGGGCATCGAGGTTGTGCGTGTCTCCCAACCGCCGCAAGCCCAGGCCCCGGCTCCAAAGAGTCGAAGTTGAACTGGTAGAAGTCATTCAGGTGCTTTGCGCCGTCGTGACCCCCCACCACCAGCATCCGGTTTTTGTACCTCCGCGACCCATCAGAAGAAGTTGTTTTTGGACTTGTTTGGACCTCGTGGAAACGGAAGGCAGAAGCAAAACCGCGTGCGCAATCTGATTGGCAGCCCTTGGTTCTCAGCTTGGCTACTGTGTCTGGCGGTTGCCGCAGAGCTTTGGCCAGTTGCGTGTCTGGCACTGCGAGAGAGGGAGGGAGGGTCTGCGTATGTCGGCGTCCCTTCTGGGGACATGTCCTTTGGGTCCGGTTTACCAAAGCTGTGCTAAACACATCTCTGACAGTCCGCGCGGTAGCTGAGCTGACCACGCAAAAGCCTGTCACGAAAGGAATCTGCCAAAGCTGCTAGGAGAAAAGCTGGAGCATACTGTAGCGCCGTAAGTTCCCGTGTTAGGAACAACTCTTAGCGTGAAGCACACCTGGTAAACAAATGCCAGAATCCAAAGCGGGGCGCAAAATTGAACGCCTGAAGTCCATCAAGAAATCGGCATGGATCTCTAACAGCAAATACTGAGACACGGCCTGGGCTTCCACGGGGCAGGAGCGAACAATCTAGAGCGAACGGCGCCAAATGAAAACACGGCAACCCTCCCGCCACCCGGCGGGTGGAAGACAGAAAAACGCCAATTCCCGAACTTGGGACTGAGCCAGGCTCTGAATCTGTCCATAGAAGCTGAGACCACGCTCCGCGGCCATGGCTGCAGGACTGAAAGCCAGCATGCATCTGAATGCCGTGGGCAGCGGGACCATGCAGTGCACACTACAACTGCCGACCCTCTTCGCGCGATCCGGCATCAGCTGGGACGCGCGGCTGCGCACAGCCATCGTCACCGCCAAAAACAGACGGCAACCAACTTGTAGCAGCAAGGGAGGGCTGATGCAGGTCAGGATTGGTAGCACCTTGAGCAACGGCACTTCTCCTCAGTTTCTGCGCTCTTTGGGAGTACTCCGAGAGATAAGTGAAATAGTTCTTGTGTTCTGAAACAGTTTTCAGCTGCTTGGCGTTCCTTGGTGCAACTCCCCCACCTCTCCCTCTCCCTCTCCTTCTCCCCCTCTCCCTCTCCCTCTCCCTAAGCGCCACAAGTCCTACTAGCAGTGCACTTGCTGTGGACTGTACTGTCTTCTTTATTGTCATATTAGTTGCTGATAACATTCACTACCAGTTGCATCGGCCCCTTTGGGTGCCGATGCTTGAAGATCTTTCGTTGTTCCCTGTATGGCAGCAATCAATGCAAGGGTACTGGCCCCGATGGTCGCTCTTCTTCCGCGCGGAGGCCTTTGTCAAATTTGAGTTTGTCAAATTTGAGTTTGGCGCTGTGCGCTCGTGGTGTGCGCCCTAAGACTGCTGCCATGTAGGCCAGCGGTTTTGCAGGAGGGTATGAACTTGCAACATGCATGAGAAGCAGGCATCCTGCTATCCTCTTCAATCCAGGACCCCAAAGCTTTGAAAAAGCACAGAGTCCTCGTGCAATTGAGTTCCCGGACTTGCCAGGGGAAATGGTTCGGCTTTTGTAGACCAAGGGCTCCTTGAAAGACCCCACTCAGGGAGCTGCCAAGTCTTAAGGCCAAAATGGCGGAGACCCCAAAATGGGATGCGCCCACGTCCACACGTCACTCGCGACGGGCAAGTCGCCTCTCGCGTCTCGCGTCTCGCTGGGCGCACGCCACGGCGGAGGTGCGGTACCGTGCCTTCGGCACCGAGCCCTTCACCGGGACGATGGACCTGGAGCGTGAGCCGCGCCGCGAGGACAAAACGGACATTGCAAAACTCACGGGCAGGGATGCCATCGACAAATCCCTGAAAACACCCTCGAGTTCCGCTCGCAAGAGGTACACTTTCAAAATGGGCTTAGCGTGGAGCCCACTTGTCTCTCTTTTGTGCCCTTGCTGGCCCGCGCATTGCCGACGTTGCAGATCCTGAATTCTGGGATTCCTCCCCTTCTGAGGGACTCATTAATTGCTTACTTGCCAGCATCGTCAACAGCTGAGTTTGGGAAGTCTCCAGAAAGTCGGCTAGCAGGATGGGTGCTGATGCCAGGCTACTGGCCGAAGCCACATGAAATTGAGCATTCTGTGTCAGCTGGCAAGTGGCTTTCGCCTGGCATAAAACTTGTGCACACCGGAAAAATGGGGAGGAGTCCTGTTTTTTCAACCCCCACCTGTCCAATTCAGCGCCCCCCGCCCCTTGCAACCTATCCAACAACTGAATGAAAGAGATTCAACAGAGCCTTGAGCCAACTCACTTTGATCAACTCTCTCAACATTTGAGAGAGCGCCGCTTCCCCACCTACCCCCTCCCACCACCAGCAGCCCTCAACTAGTCCTGGGTTTCTAAGGCTCCCAACCACTTCCGCTGGGGGAAGTTGTAACGATGGAAGTCACTCCTGGCATCCGCCAGTCCGGCGAGGCAGGCCAATCATGCAGGGCAGTGACGAAAAAAAAGGTTGCCGGAAACATTCCGACATCCCCCGGTCAAAAGGGGCTCTTCGAAATCAGCCAAACAAAGCAACCGTCAAATTGGCCAGGATGCTTTATTTGTGAAACCCTGAGAAGCATTGCGGGAAAGCTGGACACTGGATGGCAGCTACAGAGGAGCAGCAGCAGCAGCAGCAGCAGGGTGGTTTTCGCCGAGAAGAGGAAGACAGCCACGCAATCTGGTTTGTCCGTTTCTTCAAGGATACATTCCTGTTTTCCGCAACGACCTTCGCCCATATCGGCCCGCATCTCTGGCAAAGGAGGTGCACGCAAAGAGAAGCATGACAAAGGTAAAGGCAAATTCAGCAAGGCAAGGACAGTCGTAGTGTGGGCCACCACAGCAATAACAACAGCAACGTCGATCTGCCAAAGGCAAGCGTGACAAAGGAAGGGGAAAGCAGCAAGAGGCTACACAACAGCAAGAAAAGAGTAAAGATCGGCCAAAGTCGAAGCTCTGTGAGTTGGGGAGCGGAAAACCTGAAGGCTGAAATCCTCCGAACTATTTTTTTGTGAGATCGTTTGGCGAGCTGGATGCCGCAAGGCACGCGGAGAGCCTACAGCGCACCCAAGGCCCAGGACAAAAGCGCATGCCGCATGCTCCAATGCGAGTTCCGCGGCAGGCAAAAATGGCAGAGTGTTCCCCAAAGGGGGTTTTTGGGTCTCCCTTTGTTGATCAACCAGCAGGAACAACAATCCGTTCGCTTGTCAGGCCTGTAGTTCCCGTCGTACCCGGCGAAGATGTACATGGATCCGTCGTATTCGACACCAGAGTGGCCTCAGCCGCGAGGGTGAGGCTTTTCATATGGGAGCCGCAAAGGCAACATATGCTGTCTTTCTTGGAAACCTTGTTTGTGGTTAGTTTCAAGGGCAACAGGAAACAACCCATTTTGGGTACCCCTATATATTGAGACAAACCCAATATTAGGGCCTGGATAGGGCCTGGATAGGGCCTGGCTTTGCCACTGAACATGTGGGCCATTTATTGGAATTCGAAACCAGAAGTACTCGCTACCATGAAAACCAAGTGTTGAGCAAACATCACAAATGCGTACAGACTGCGAGGCAGCCCTTGGATAGTTCGCTACTAGCAGGGATAGTTGCCTCCACACGCTTTACTCTGTGTGCATCTCTTGTGGTGCTACCTTCTTCCGACTTGCCGCAAGATTGAAGCCGCTGTCGTCCGCAAGCTATCTCTCGAACCGCGAGGAATAGACTGCGTGCTTTGCTCCAAAACTCTCGCAGCTGATTGTCAAGGCCTTCACGCCGTCCCAAAATGGCTGCCAAAACCTCGTGGTGGAAACATGGGTCAATCTGTCGCCCAAAGGAAAATCGCCCTGCATAATTTTGAAGGCCCGAGACCTTGGCGTTTATGGACGTTCTCGCTCAATCGAAGCCTTTGCAGCAGTCGCCCACGTTGCCAAAAACGGGATACGCAACCGTCTCGCTGGCCCCAAACCAAAGGGATCTTCTGAACTTCACACCGCAGCTCTCAAGCAGGCGACATCCATGTTAAGATGTCAGCCTCTGTCACCCTGCCGCTGGTCCTGGTCCAGTTTGGCCACAGGCAAACAAGTTCTCTGCCGGCAAGACAAAACAAAGCCTGATCCTCCTAAAAAATAATGAAAAACAAACAAAATGTTTGGCATACAATCTTCCAAGTCATCCACGCGGCTCTAATCACTCCAGCGGCCCAATCAATCCCTGGGACCCTTTCGGCCCTCTCAGGGCCCTGGCTGTGCCGCGGTGTCGGGGGATTTCCCAAAGCAGGATCCACCATCTGCCAGGCCTCCACGAGGCGAACTTTGGGTCACGTTTGCGGCGGTCTGCGGTCGCTGCAGCCAAATCGGCTGGGGGTGTTTGGCGCAGAAAGGAGTTGACGGTCGCTGAAGCCGAACAAATGCGTGTGTTGTTTGGCGGCGCTAGGCCCATCTACCCGGATTGCGGGTGTCGCATTGGAGACTTGGACTTTGCACTGGTGTTTCCCGCATCGGGTTGGCAACTTGCCCTTGGAGAACTCTCAAAAGCGTTGCAGGCAACGTGAGCAATGTGTGTTCGTTGGGCTTAGCGAACGGCTTCGAAAGCTCCCTGGGCTCAAGATGCATTTCGGGTTTTGCGTTTCCAAAAATTCAGGAGGAGGGTTCCTCTTTGTGAGATTCTCAAAATGAAACGTGTCCAGCCCCCGTCGCGTGTATTCCCAAGGATGCTCGGCATCGCCCAGTGCAAGCTTTGCTCGAGCTGGAAAATGCAAAGGTCCCACAAGGAACAGCCAGGTTTTAATGAATGCGAGTGGCTCGACACGTCACCCCTTGCCGAGGAAGACGTGCTGCAAAGGAAGGGTCAACCCTACTGCAAACACACACTTCCAAAACAACAGTTGCTCTTTCAGTTGGTTTGAGAGCCACCCTTGGATGACCTACGCCGATGTGCAGAGCAGCCGCTCAAAGCGCCACGGACGGGGTGCGTAGGTTGGTTGGTCCCATTCACCCCAAAAAAACACAAGAATCATGAAACACAAATATGGCTTTGCATGAGTGTGACAGAGCTATTAGACCACATCCACATCCGAGGTATGGATGAAGCTTCGGTCTCCTGCCTCATGCTCTGTGTCGTACTGCCAGAAGTCGTTGACGCGGTTGTTCCCGTCATACCCGGCAAAAATGTAAATCTTGTCAGCAAAGGACCTAAGATTGAAGCATGATGGCAAAAAAAGGTCTCTTTTTTGAACGGTTTATTCATCGATTGCGATTTGGAGCCCATTGCATTGGCCAAACCTCTCATGTCCACCGCAGCAGGTCCGAAAGCCCCTTGGGTGCCCCCTCATTTCATTGTCAGAGATGTGCCCCACAGACCCCTAGACCAGTCTTAGTCGCGGTCAATTGCCCCCTCGTTCTTTTTTTTTGTTCAGTCTTAGTTGCTCCTTGTTCGGGGTTTACGGGACCTTCAATTGCAACCACGAACCACCATTCCAAACACGGCTGGGGTCTTTCAAAAAGAACAAAATGGGACCGTCGGGGGGCTGAGGTTCAAGACGGACCGAGTGCCTGGCACCACCACGTGCCTGTCTCTGGCGGTGGGCCCTGCACCTGCACGCCGGAGCCGCGGTCGGATGGTTTTTGGGAACCGGAAACGGGTCTCTGGATTCAGCAAAGGCGAACAAAGCTCCCGTGCAACACTCGCGGCTCGCGCCCAACCACTACGCAGCCCGCACCCTGGCACTCCCGCAACCCTGCACCAACTCTAAACCAGCCCCCCTAAAACCACAAACCAACCATAAGCCCACCCTAACCCATCCTAAACCAATCCTACACCACAACCCAACCACAGGACCACAGGGGGGGAGGGGGGGCCTACCTGTATGACCTATGATCACGGCGCTACACCATACATACCTACCTATTATATGTATATATATATATATATAAATCTTGACATTAACATAGCTCAGGCCTTGGGACAAATCAGGATGGAAGTTGGAGATTCCCCTGGTGAGGTCGCTCGACTTTGCCCAGAGTCATGGCAAACCATGGAGCAGCAAATCAAAGCCGGCAACGCAATTGCCGATCGATACCGCTCTCGGCATGTCCGCCTCGCCCCAGCCTCGCCTCAACCTCAGCCCTGCCCCATTTCACCATCCACTCCGGGCGCCTGTGGTGTGGATCTGCGACCATTTCGAGGCCTGAAGCGCGCGGTCCAGCGGAAGTGCCGTTTTCCCCAGCGCAAAGGTTGAGATTGGCTGGTGAAGGGAAACCTCCCTTGCTGGTTTGCTCATGGCAAACTAGCCCGTCTCCCCTTGTTTGCTTGACCCTACAAGCCAGTCAAATATCCAGGCAGACTGTTTTGAACGTAAAAAGCTTCAACTCGTGATCCAATTGGATCTCAGAACAGGTGGCCATCGTCCCAACATGGACGACCATCCTTTAAAGTAAGTGTGTTTTTAGACAAGCTCAAACCACACATTCACCTTCATGATTTGGCCTTTGCATGCAAACGAATTTGTTGTTCCCCGCTTGCAATACACTAAAAACTGCCTACTAATGGATCAAGATACACGCGGGAGTCACAAGGCCGACTTACGCGCTCGACGCCGAGAAACACTCGCACTCATTCTCTTGAACCAGCCCGGCTCATCCTCAACAAAAAAAAACTGAAGGCAAGCGAAACAAAGATGGATTGCGTGCTCAACATCTAAGCCGCACATTGTAAAGGGGAACGGGCAGCTTGTCGGATGAGAATGGTGCTAACATCATGCCAACCCGTTGACGCTGTCATAAAGCGATTTGCTCCCTTCCGGCTTCATGGGCCGAGGGGCCTTGAAGCTCCACTTGTAGAAGTCGTTCACCCGACTGCTGCCGTCATACCTGCGGGCCAGGATAAGGACGCACCCATCCCTGCAAAACAAAGTCACAACAGCCCAAACGCGATCCGTGCCGCAAAACCACGCCACAGCCCGGAAATCAAAACAGCTCTTCCTGGCCACCCATGCCCGTGGGCTGAGCTTTGCGTCGCCCTTGAGGCCCTGGCCCGCCGAAGATGTAGAGGCAGTCCCCCACCACGATGCTCGCGTGTAGGGACCGCTGCTTCGGAGGCTGGCCTGGGCCAGAACTCCCAGGACTGGCAGGGCCTCTTCGACCAAAGCTCGGTTGGAGTGAGGCTGGGCATATTGAAGGGTCGACTAGACAGGTTCCGACGGGTGCCATTGTATTTGGTGGTTGGGACCCCGAGTTGATGAGAGTTAACAAACCCGGTGAGCTCAACACAAACTTGCTCTGGTGGCCGGTGTTTTGTTGGATGTGTGTGTGTGTGTATGTGGGTGGGTGTGGGTGTGGGTGTGCAAGTGTGTGTGTACTCTCTCTCTCTCTCTCTCTCTCCGTGGACCAAACTGCTGTTGTTTGGAGTTGGCTCGTTTGGGGCCGAACTTGAGCTGCTGTTTGGGCTGGTTGACGGTGCGCATGGTTTGGGGCAGTTTCTGGATTGATGGTTGGGCGGGATTTGGGGTTGGGTTTGGAATGGGTGCAGGGCGGTTTAGGGTTGACTTGGGTTGGAAGAAGGTTGGGCGCTGGGTTTCAGATGGGCTTAAGCTGGTCGGGTTTACAGGCGAGTGGAGAAATTGGTCTGGTGTGGGGTTGGATTCGGAGTGGTTAAGAATGGAGTTATATAGGTGCCCTGACAACCAAAACTTTGAAGGATGCAGCCAGCTCGTCTGTCTTTCTGCCCCACAACCGCAGCTAGAAGATGGTCCAAACACGGGATCGTTCTCGTCCAGCTCAGCTTGTCATCTCCTGACGTGGGCAAGTGATCTAACTCAGTACGAGCGGACTTCCATTCCTTTGCTGCAAAGCAGCTCGCCTCTTGTCGTCCGTATTCAAGGACGGACCTGCAACTTAGAGGGAAAGAAGCAAATGAGCTTCAACATGTCCGGCGCCGAGTAGCCGTGGACAAGCAAGTAGAAATCTGTTGGCAGCAAAAATTTGGTGCTGGAAAGCAACGCGGGCGCATGGCTGGAGACTTTAACACGCGCCTGCAACGGGTGTTGGGTTCAAGGTTTGAGGTAGGCTCAGAGAGGGTTGGTGTAGGGCTGGTTTTGGTTTAGGCGATTGGCAGCAGGATGGGTTGAGGTCAGCTTAGAGTGGCTTCGATTGGCTAAAGTTTTGTTTGGGGAGGCCTAGAAAATGGCTCGGTCAGGGTGCCTTTAGGGACAAAAAGCAACCTCAGCCAGAACTAAAGACCAACACAAACACCTCTCTTGGCAGCCGCCAGCCTTCAACTACTCCTAGGCGAGCTGTGTGACACAAAGGTTGGGCCCCGTGCATCCTCCATAGGGTTTCACCAAGGACCACTGGTTGATGGCAGACTTGCTGCACTCCCCGTCGTCCACCTGGCGGCCCGCAACAGCGTGGATGGGACATCGATCGGTGTCTTGACAATGCGTTCGCAAGGCAGCAGCAGCAGCATTTGCTGGTTTCAAACTCGCTTGCCCCACATGGCCAAACTTCCTTGAGGTTCCATATAACCATTTCCAGAGCCATGAGCCCAAGTGAAGCTCCGCGTCGCTCTCACACGGGCTCGAAGTAAGTGGTCCTTTATTTTCAGACTCGCTAAATACCAAGGCTGATGTCAACCCATTGATAAACCTTTCCAATCGATAGGGGCCGCTTGCCATATGAGTGAAGGATACCCTCAAACATATGGGCCCCCTTTACTGTCAACTAGGGGCTTTAATCCGGCACCCACTGAGCGAGAGGCATTCTGCCTGCCACCAGCAAAGTGCCAAGGCTGCAATGTTCAAGCTTCAGCAGGGGGAAAGAAGTGGCGGCCTTGATACGGTGAACCTGACACTAGGTGTCCTCATACGCGAAACTCGAAGTCGTCACAGTTGCGGGAAGAACGAAATTTCGTGCCTTCATCGTAGAACATATACAAAGCCCAAGGTTCACCCGTTGCAAACGTACAAAGCAAAAAGCACCCGGAGTATCGCAGCTCGGCACCGGCCACCTTCCCAGCCCAAAGAAAATGCCCCGGTGCCTCCATCTCGGTCTCAGCACCTGGGACAAAGTCAGAATCGTGACCTCGCACCGCTGGGAGTGGTCAGTCGCCACGCTTACCCGTTTGAATGGCTTAACAATGGCCAGTGAGTTGAAGCCATGGAAAGCGAGGGAAGAACCTCTGAGATCCGACCCATTTTCGCACCCAGGCACCAGCGAAGCGGAAGCAATATCCCCAAGAGAGGAAGCGGCGTCATGCAGTTCGCCTTTTGGGTTACGTTTAGCTCTCTAGGTTGCTGTAAGTCATCCAAGTCAAAAAACAATGCTGGTCTGGAGACGGCACTTGGCTGAACCCCGCACGCATGCTCAAGTGGCCGATCCACACTCCACACAGCCCCACACGCGCACTCGTGTGAACGCCAAGCCGCGCTCCACCATGGCGAGCCGCAAGGTCCGGCCTCTGATCAGATCCACGCGGCCCGACAAAGAACTCGTGGGAAAAACCACCGAGGGAAGTCGCCAGTTCGACAGTTCGCGTACGGGACTCATTGGCCATCGCTGGGCCTATGGAACCGTCAGTTGCTTGACTGCCCAGGATATGTGCTCTCAACTTCCTATTCATTGACCGAAAATGTGGGAATTCGCAAGCAAGGGACCTTGGGTGAGCTCGCGTGTGACAGCCAGGGATGCTGGCACTTTTCCCTCACACCCTGGTTGAAGCGGCGATGGATCTCCGGAATGCACCCTCCACAAATCCGCCTGGCTTTTGAGGCTGCTATGCTGTGTATGGCCAGCTCTTGGATTGTCGATCAGTTTGCTTCGTTGATACCCCAAGACTAGTTTCAATCAATGAAGACTGCACCGTTGGCGTCCTCCAGACAGGGCCACAACGTCACCCCTCTTCCAGCAACATCAAGTGGTGTGACTGTGGAAAGTGAGTAGATGGAAAAAGCAACTTTGAAAGTCGAAGGATCAAACTGATCGCAAGGCAACATCAAGGGCAGTAAAACGTCAACACATCACAATATCCATGCTCGACCTAATTCATCGAAAGTCACAGAATCATCACCAAGCTATGCCCTCTTCAGCGAACCAAAGCTATCCCCTAGCCAAGACAGAAACCATCACCACTTCATTGTTGTTCCGACTTCCGGTGGGGAACGTGTTGGCGATTCTTGCAAACAAGCCGATGGGCCCTCCCGGGACCCAGTTGTCCCTTGGCGCTCTTGTTGAGGTCCGAGAAGGCTATCAACCTTTCAAAACGTTGGACGCCATTCCGGACCGCACCTGTCTGCGAACAGGAAGCCAAGCAGGCCAAAGTCGATCCGACGGAAAGCCAACCATTTGGAGGGATCCGCTTTCCATCCCTCCACCCGGGAACCGCGCTCCGGCGCTGTGCGGCTTGGGGTCCATTGGCCGAAGCCGAGCCAAAACCCTCGCTGGCTGACGCACAGGTCCCGCAGCGGGTGGGAGAACGACGGACCCCGACATCCGGACATCCGGACATCCCCACATCCCCCCGACGGCCCCAGGGAGGGCTGGACTCTTTCCGAAACCGCAGAGCTTCATGTTTCCGTGTCTGCTCCCGTCAACTCTTGCTCCTGCTCAATGGCCAAAATATGTTTGTCGGGGTCAACCACTAGTCTTTTCTTAGGAGAGCCGCTGCAGAGTCAACAGGCTCGACGTGGAAAAAACAACGGGTGGACCAAGCTACTCGTGGAACGCGTGTTACACGGGGCATGGACCGTTCTCATTGAACAACTCAGCTTCACACGCGGCAAGCTCATCCGGTCGCTGCTCCCCAAGATTGCTTTCCCCGGGCATCAGAGGCCCTAGGCAAACAACTTGTTACCCTGTTACCGGTGTAATTCACAACGATTTTGAGTTGAACATGATATATTGAAGCGGCTGCCCTTTAGTTTTACGCTTTCTGGCTGAATTGAATTGCGCGGGCTCAACAATACGGTTAAAGAGCAGCATAGTATCCGGCAAGCAGGTGACCTGACTTGGTCCAAGCGGAGGCGTCTCACCCTGGATCGGCAACTTCCATCGCGTCGAGCAGCTGTGTTCCGCTTTTTGCAGGTCCGCACGCATCGTGACAGCCAGGTGCAAACGGCCGCTCACTTGAGAGACATCGGGGCGGTGTGGAACTCATCTGGCGGAGAGGAACGAGACCCTATGACTCTCATGGCCTCAATGCTTTGAACAAACGAATATAAAAACAGACCTGCTAAAGAAATCCAAACATCCAGGAATGATGTGTGTGTGTGTATATATATCAATAACGCTGTCACCGCCACCTTTTCTGAGAATCATCACACGAAGCACCCGAAAGCCGACGAGTTGCCACCAGCGCCTTCAGCCCCTCCGGCACGGTGAGACCCCGAGGGCACCCCTGTCAGCTTGCAGTGCGGGTTCACTAGCTATGTTGGGAAACATGGCGCTGGGTGTCTTCATCTGACACAAATCTGGACTCCCACAGCCCCACGAAACCATCTGGAAACCCGGCCTCACCGGCCGCAATAGAATTAAAACGCTACTTCAAACAGCCTTGATGCATTTTAGAAGTCGAGTCTCACATGGATGCACGAGCCGTGTTTGCATTGGCCGTTCCTTGCATCTCAGTCATCCTTTGCCTTGCTAAGGCAAACGAACGTGCATGCATCTTACCGACAAAGGCAGGGGGCCGATAAATACCATCTGAACAGCACATCTAGACATGGTGTATTTGTGGCTCGCTGTCACCACGAATTGAACGAATCTGATCATGCAGGAACAAAGACATTTGTGGCGCGAATCCATATTGGGCCCTTTCATAGCCCGGCGCCTCCAGAAGGACAAATCTTGTCCACAAAGTCAATCATCTTCCTGTCGAGTGGCTCTTGGAAACTGCTTCCCTTGAAACCCGCCCAAAGGGAAGCCGCCCCTGAGGTCAGAGCTTTGCCTGCCCAAGGCGCTTGCAGTTGGCCGCCAGCGAGGTAAATGTATGACTCACAGGTACTTCTTTACTTCTTCGTCATGCTTTATTTCAAGTGAATGAAAGAACTCGAATCTGTCACGACGTGGCAGGCGTGAATTATGGTTTGTGCCTAGCTGTGTGCGCCCAATGTGGTCTACCTCTAGGCCACCAGCGCTTTAAACCAAAACGGGCGGCCCGTGCCATCCAAAATCGCGTCCTGTCGTAGTTGTAGAACTTCGATGAAGGGATGCTTTCCTTCGGAGCCCCGGCACCCGGACGGATCTTGGGATAAAACCAAATACCGGCAATACTCCGGTTCAATGTGTATGTCTCCAGATATGTTTGTTGCTCATGCAACCACAACAAAGCCAATCAGGAGCGGCGTGTTAAACAATCAGACACAAACCAAAAAAAGACAGGCAAAGGGCCAAAGGAATCCATTGCTTTCCTCCTCGTGCCTGTGATTCTTTTTGAAGCTGGTGTGATGCATCCTCCCTCGATGGAAGGACAAAACGAGCACCCTGGAATTAGTGACCGTGTGTTTGAGGACATCCTCAAAACCTTCCTTGCCCATACGCAAACTCTGCTTGGATGAAAGGAAGATTGTCGTCTCGTCTAAATGGACATATTGAGAGGGGTACGTATTGAGAGAGGTATGTGGCACTCGCTAGACCACTCTGCCTATCCACGTTAAACAAAGCTCTCTGATTGCACTTTCTGCCCCTGACATTACCAGGCTACAAACCAACTCTTGGGGAAGGCAGGTCCCAATCCACCCAGACCCGGCCAATGAACTCTCACAAGCCCTCTGAAGGAGCAGGCAACATTGAGTCGCTCTCTTCGAACCACTTCGCTAGCTTCTCCCCTTTTCTCCGCCTTGCCTCCCGCTTGGAACTTGGAGCCCGAAAAAAGGAAACTGGCGGATGCCCCGCGTGCGAGGGAAGCTGCGGCTGAAAGGCGACCAAAAACACGCAGCCCTGCTGACAAGCAGCCACGTGTTTTGCAACGTTGAACTCGTTCAGGTAGTCAATGATGCCTGGGACGATCAAATATATGTCTGATCATTGAGATTCTGGCATTCTTTGAGACATGATTTTGACTAGGTGCCCCTGCTAATGAGTTGTTTGGCGGCAAGAGGCGTCCCCTTTTCGGATGTACTCGCACACTAAGGCTTCAGTTCCAATGAAAAGCCATCAGCTTGCAAAGCTCTAAGCACCCCAATGCAGACACTCTTCAGACAGCATACGCGCTAGAAAGTGGTAAAGTGTTTGGAACACCCACACGGACAACCGTTGGAGAGCACGAATGCTACATGTGAAGAATGGGCAAGGGTGCCAGGGCGCAAATGTTATACGTGTGGACGCAACTCCGAGAGCACCTACACGGTGCTGAGGTCACCGTCACATTGCCCGAGCGGTAGAAACCAGGGCAACCAGATCTGCCATCATCCAACACCAAGTGTATCTTGAGTGATCGACTTTCTGCAAAATTGGACTCCCAGACAAATCACCGCTAGAACTAATCGTGCGGGCCGATGGAAGAGAACTGCGTGCCGGCTTTACGGCCGCTGCGCTCAGAACACACGTGTATAGGCTCGGAACACTCATCGACACGTGTACAGAACACAAGGCAGTGTGAACAATACGCCTATGCATTGTGAACACTCATGTCCATACGTTGCAAGCGTTTTCGCACTGGTGACACTCAGAAATGTGCATACGCTCGGAACACACCTACACGCGCAGAATCACACACTAACGCACATGTACCAGTGTATACACTGTGAAGCAACATGCGTATGCAAAGGAAGCCTCATGCGCATACGCTTGGGACACATGTGTGCGTGTGTGTGTGTGTACAGAACCTGTGTATGCACTCGGAGCACGCACTGTTTTTTGGTATGCATATGTATATATATATATGTATGTATGTATGTATGTATGTATTAGTATTAGTATTATTATTATTACTATCATTATTATTATTAGTAGTAGTAGTAGTAGTAGTATCATTAGTATAATCATTAGTAGTATTATTATTATTGTTCTTCTTCTTATTATTATCATCATCATCATCATCATTATAATCATCATCATCATTATTATTAGTATTATTATTATGATTATTACTATTATTATTATTATTATTACTATGATTATTATCATTATACAATTATATATATACAGACATGTGTTTACATATGTATATTATGTGCAAAACACGCTTTTGGATATACACCGCAAACACGCATGTGTTTACACCGGGCATCACAACAACCAAAGGAAATCCCATCTCCTCAGCCAGGCGTCTCGCGGTGTAGAGAGCCTTGCCACTCTCCAAGCATTCCGGCTCCGAAACGTTTCGGCCCTCCCGCTGACAGTGCAGGTCCTCCTGAAAGAACAGGGATGGAGCCCGGTTTCTCCTTGGACCTTTCGACTCCCAGAAAGAACAGGGGCACCAACTCGAAAACAGAAACTGCATCCTGATGGGTTTGTGCGTGTTCCAGTAAGGCTCGGTACCTGTTCCGCTTGGTTTGAAGGGAAATCAAAAGGAAGCCGGCACTTGTGGGGTCCCTTTCTGCAAGCCATTGACATAGCGTAGCAAACAGCTTTGCTCTTGCCCACTTACAGCATTGACACTCCCTCCCAGATGCCTGGAAGACCGATTTCGTCGTAAAGCCCCCCCCCTTTTCTCGGCGTGTTGGGTTCCATCTTACTGGCTGGGATGCCTGCGGTGCGATCAGTCACACAGAGAAGTCCAAAGTTTATGTCTCATGTAGGCTCATGAGCGTCTCAAGCTGAAAAATTATGCGTGGCGCCAGGCTTCAAATCATCTGCCATGCACGGACAACTTGGATGTCTGCATGCCGAGGGAACGAGCAGCGGACAAATGGAGCTCAATGAAACCAGTTGAGGCTTGTCACCCTGCCCACGGCTCCGAGGAGTGCTTGTGCACTGCCAGGATCATCAGGGAGTAGTCGATCATCTCCTCAGATCAGCAAAACCCCCCAGATGCCAGGTGACATTGCTACAACTGAGAAACCATTGGCCACAAACACAAGGAATCCTCTTGCCTTTGCTTTGAGGGTGGAGTAGTGTAGTATAGGTATAGTATTGTACTATGCTTCAAGACTCCCTCTGTCTCGTCATGAGTCATGATTTCCAGGTATATCATGAGCCCGCATTTGACTACAGACGCGAGGGGAAGGAGCACGAGCGTGGCACCGGACGGGTAAGCAAAACGGACAACAACTGTGCCATAGTCCACAGCAAACCCTCTGTGCCCCGGATCTCTAAAGAAGAGATCCTTGAATTGCAGGAGTTCTCGCTCGTTGTGGTTAAGCGACTCCGGTAAAGAGATGCAGCAAGTCCAATTGGTTTGAGAGCTGTGATGTCTCTCATTGTTCCCGAGACTGGCTTTGCCAGACGCCTCTGACAAACTGTACCATAGGCAATGGTAGGAAATTGACTGTGCAAAGCCAAGCCA